AGGCGGCTTTGGTGGTTATTGTGAACTATATACGACTGTGAACTGCCCATCATGTTTGACGTTTGGGAAATGCTTAGCAGGAGGGTTAGATGTCGCGAAGCGGTACCAGCTTCATTAAATGAACTTCGCTTGGTCCTTAAAGAAGAATGGGAAAACATAACACAATATGATAATACAGGGTGGCCCATCGAAAACGTTCCGCAAGGCATAACGGCCAAAGTAATTTTTTTTTTCAGAAAATTCAAAAACACGTCAATTTTGTTTGTGGGGGGGGCAACTTTTGCCCCAAAAATGATTGTAAAATCTTCAACCCTCTAAGCCGGGGTATCATCCCCCAACTTATTTCAAATGGGAAGGGGGGTCAAGTGGCGTCGAAATGAAAAGAGCTTTCTATTCTCTATATTTTCCCGCTTCGCTTTTGAAAATCGGTCGAGTCATTGAGAAAATATGAAGGATTGAAATTTGAAAAGTTTATTTAAACATTTATCAGAGTAAATAATAAGAATAAATTTCTTCGACCAATTTGCTGTTTTTTCTTATTATTTCTAGATATTTACGCATTTTTTCACTTGCCACAAGGTTGAACGATCAGGTGCGGTAGTTGCTAGATAGCTGTTCTGTGACTTGTGCGTTGAACTTCTTCTCGATATCGTTAAACTTCTTAACAATTATGGTATACTCCCTTGCAGAAAAAGTGGAAATAATCGAACTTTATTTTAATAATAATGAATGTATCGGGTTGCGCACATATTCAATGTACGCTATCCTGACAAACACCTTTATGGCAAAATTGTTCGCGAGTTACTAGCAAAATTTCGCGAAACTGGTTCCGTTATGAATAAAAAGAGGCAGAGCCTGTAGTAAATAAAGCTATGGATGTATTTGTATTCGGCCAAATTGCCATGGATAGTACGCTGAGTACAAGAAAATTAGCCAATGAGACCGGCGTGAATCGTACAAGTGTCCAAAGGATATTAAAAAAACATGTTCCACCCGTACAAAATTCAGTTTGTACAAGAACTCAACGAAGACGATTTTGATAGTCGCTTGCAATTTTGTGAAACTATGAGTGAAACAAGTGGCGAATGATAATAATTTCCTATTTAATGTGTGTTTTTCGGATGAGTGTACTTTCTTTTTGAACGGTGTAGTTAATCGGCACAACTGTCGGTACTGGGCTGATGACAACCCAACAACAGGTTTTTCACGAGGTGTACACGCAAAACCCTCAGAAATTGAACGTGTGGGATGGCATTTTTGGAAATTCTATTGTAGGTCAGTTTGACGATATTGAGAAGAAGTTCAACGCACAAGTCACAGAACAGCTATCTAAAACTACCACACCTGATCGTTTAACCTTGTGGCAAGTGAAAAAATGCGTAAACATCTAGAAATAATAAGAAAAAACTTGTCGATTTTGGTCGAATGAATTTGTTGGTGGTCGAATGAATTGGTCGAATGAATTTATCTTTATCATTTACTCTGATAAATGTTTAAATAAACTTTTCAAATTTCAATCCTTCATATTTTCTCAATGACTCGACAAATTTTCAAAAACGAAGCGAGTAAATAGACAGTTAAAGCACGGCCAAAGACGTAGACGTAAACGTATCGTTTGACATGTACGCTTGCGCAGTGAGAAATTCACTTGCGTTTACGGATACGTGATACGTATCTTTACGTGCCTTTACGTACGTACAAAACACAAACGTATCGAGCCGAAGGAGTTTCGATTTTCACACGAATGATGCCGAACGTACAAATTCTCAAACAATTTGTTTCCACAACTGGCTAGTAATTAAGTTATTTCATAAATTTTGGGGCCAGTGTAACAGAACTGGGCCTATTATATTACAATAAATTAGTATGAAAATATTAAGCATCATAATAAACTCATTTTGGAATCTATTTAATTAAATACGTATGCTAGTTCTTTGCCAAAATCCATATGAGGATTCTAAAAGATGGAATCTAATAAATAATCATAAAACTCTGTCTGTTTTCCTATATTTTTTATTACTAAGAGCATTTTAAGTTGTAAGGATTACTTTCTGTAATAAAATAATTTCCATTTATAATTTTCTTTATTTTTCGATATTACTTTTATAAATTTAATGCGGATTCAATGGAATAATAGATATCCATTTTGAGTTTTAAAATTAAATAAATTGTTTCACAAAATAATTTAGAATTACAAATGTACCATTTGCGTTACGTACGTCAAATACTTGCTTTAACTCTTGTTTACACGACAACGCAAGGGCAGACGTAATAACGTAGGTTTCTGCGTTACGTGTCGAGAGATACGTATACGTATTGTGCCTTGCTTTAACTGTCTAATATAGAGAATAGAAAGCTCTTTTCATTGCGGCACCACTTGACCCCCCCCTCCCATTTGAAAAAAGTTGGGGGATGACACCCTCGCTTAGAGGGTTGACGATTTTGCTATCATTTTTGGGGCAAAATTTGTCCCCCTCACAAACAAATTTGACCTGTTTTTGGATTTTTTGAAAAAAAAATACCCTGGCCGTTATGCCTTGCGGAACGTTTTCGATGGGCCACCATGTATGCAGCCTCAATGGCAGTATAAACGGACGTATACAGGCAGTTATAACAGCCAAGGGAGGGAGGCAATACAAAGTATTAGGATATTTTTAAACAAAATCTCTTGAGTATTACAGATGTTTTCTTTAATATCGTTAGTTCTATTATCGTTGTAAATTATGTTTATTAAAACCAGGACTGTATCGTTATTCTTTAGCTTTTTTTAATTTGGTGTAGAGTATCCAATACAGCGTAATATGACGTTACGATAATAGTCACCAAAACCATCTCGCCATATTAAAAAAATTAATTAAAAAGTAATGATAATTGAAAAAATTGCTAATTGATCGTGATCAGTTCATTTCGCTCTTAAAAAGCAACCAAAGTATGTATTGACATGAATCAAAACAGAAAATGCTGAAGAGCCATGGTTCTTACCGTAAATATGTATCTTAAGAAAATTTAGACACGAAATTATTGCACATGGTGTTTTAAAGTTAGGATAAAAAAGCAGCCCTTCGATTATTCCTGTATAATACGCTAAATACTAAAGTTTATAAAAATTTAGTTTACGAATGAAAGCTGACATAATTATATACAGCTTGCTAAAAAAATCATGAAAATAGGGCTAAAAGTAACAAACATATAACACTTTAAATTTGACCAAAAATATGCCAGTGATATTTTTTTGTATCTCAGGGTATATCTAATCCATATTAATAATTAAAAATTAGGTTTTGAATTTGATTTTAAAATCAGTTCAAAAACCGTTCCAACCTGCATTTAATTTCAGTATAGTACTTCAGTATAGTATAACTGTCCAAGTCGACACATGCGTACAAATCCAATGGGCAATCCCAATTACCGTCCTAGAACGGTACAAACTACTGTATAGGAACAAACCCTTATGTAATGCAGTCAAAAAGAATTTAATTTTGCACAAGCTTGACGTTTTTTTAGAATAATAAGTTCTACTCTACGGGTGCTAAATAAACATTTTGAATAAAAACTCTATTGGAGAAGACAATGGACCAAAAAAAACATGAATACATATAAACACAATTTTCGAAAACGTGTATCAATATTTATTAAGGATTCTAATAAATATGATATAATATACTTAGTAAAATATAATGTAAAACTATTATTGCCTAAAAATAAATATACATATGAATAAATCTATACAATTTTGTCTGTATTAACAATATAAAATGGAAATAAATATATTTAGAATGTTGACATTTTTATTTAACTCCTTTTTACAACTGTCGCTATTCTATAAAACCTTTTTTTCTTCTACAGGGTGTCAAAAAATAGTGTTGTTTTGAGTAAGTGGAAGTTTTTTATGAAAAAAGCGTTATAAAATTCATAATTCAGTAAATAAGAACACGAAAAGATATACAGGGTGTTTCAAAAAACATGTGCCATCTCTCGTGGGGAGATTCCTCACGTAAAAATAAGATTTATTTTTCATATCAACATAGGTCCGATTGTGCTTTGTTTCGTAGCTACAGGGTGTTAAAGTCATAATAATTTTTCGATTTATTATAATTTTCTTCCAACTACTTTTAGCGTTTCGAATGAAATTTTGAGGGTAAAAGTTACTATAAATACACGTTTTAAAGCTAAAAAAGTATCGACATATTCGCCAGGGACGTGCATATGGGTTATCTCTGGAATATTTTTCTAAAAAAAACATGTACGCCACTGCCTTTTTTTCTCTTGTTAGCGAAATAGTGTAAACAGTTTATTGCTGATTAAAAGTTGTCTCTTGATATTTTGTCGATTTCGGCCTCCTTGATGAGATAAACGCAATTTTATTAATTTGCCTTGATCCAAAAGTCTAAAAGCAACCTTAAAAAAATTAATATCATTCACTTGCGAAAGTTTTAAATATGATGTTAAAACTTTTTAAAATTAGTTTTTTTGTAAATTATCTTAAATACCATTATTTTTTCTTTCTTTCAAATTGCTGTAGGTTGGACTAATAGTAATAATATTTTATAAAAAATTAGGTAAAATTTGTATTTTATTAATTGTGATTAATAAAATTGCGTTTATCTTATCCAAGAGGCCGAATTCGACAAAATATCAAAAGGTAACTTTTAATAGGCATCAAACGGCCTATATAATTTTGATATCAAAAGAAAAAAGTCAGTGGCGCACATGTTTTTTTAATAAAAAAAGATTCCAGTGATAACCCATATGCACGTCCCTGATGAATTTATCGGCACTTTTTTAGCATTAAAATGTGTAGCACTTATAGTAACTTTTACCCTCAAAATTTCATTTGAATCACTAAAAGTACTTGAAAGAAAATAATTATAATAAATCGAAAGATTATTAAGACTGTAACACCCTGTAGCTACGAAACAAAGCAGAATCGGACCTATGTTGATATGAAAAATAAATCTTATTTTTACGTGAGGAATCTTCCAACGCGAGATGGCACATGTTTTTTGAAACACCCTGTATATTTCGACTTTTTATATTATTTGGAACGTTTAAAATTGTTTAAAAAATTATTTGAGACGTTTCAAAAAAATAGAGTAAAAATGAATTTTTGTGGCTCGCCTTGTCAAACGCACAGTTCGCCACAAAAAGTATAATTTTTACTCCTAATAAAACAATATACTATTTTGGTGTCACGTTCTGTTATAGCCAAATGCATTAATTACATATAGGTACCTATAATATAAATAAAATGGCAATAATAATCTCTTAATTTTGGACCTTATGTTAATTTTGACATATGCCTATTATCATAAATCACACCACTACATATGCTATTTCCTCTGTGTATTATCAATTGACCGATTTATTATTTTTCCTCCTTCTTTTATTCTTAATTTTCGACAATATCTCGTAGGCCTGTTGGATTTGCATAAACCTTTCCTGAGCGTCCCTCTGTTTTTCCGGATCTTTTACTTTGTCCGGGTGGTGTTCCCTGCTCAATGCACGCCATCTAGCGGTGATTTCCTGTTGACTAGCTGTTGGACTGACTCCTAGGACTTTGTAGGAGTTTTGTTCTCCTTGTGGGTCGGATAATTCTATTATTTGTTTCCATATTTCGTACCTAGAAAGAAAATTATCTATGAGAAAGAGACATAAAACAAATATCACAAGCTAGAACAATTGGGTCTCTGAATAGAGTGTTTTAGAGTAACGAAATAGGGAAAACGGAAGATTAATATACAGTATGTCCCCGGGTTGTCTTTACAAGAGGAAACACTTTTTTATTATTGACATTTTGAGAAAAATGCAATCTTCATTTTTAATGTTGATTTCATTCTTTGATAGATGGTTATTATTAATTTTGATTAACGTAACATTTTTGCTGTTATTAAAGTACCAAAGCAGAGAAAACGAGCTACCTTGAAACTAACAATGAATGAAATCTAATTTATATTACCATGCCTTTTGATTTTTAGAACTTTCTAAAGAAATTTCTACCATACTTTCAAGATTTTTTTAATTTTTTCTAAAACTGTATGGAAATGTGGAAAAGTATTACGGGATTAACGATTTTAGAACAAAAGCAAATATTTTTATAAAAAATTCATTTTTTTTAAATGTAAAGAATAAAAAAGCTTTTATTCTTGTAAAGACAATCCGGGGACATACTGTATATGAGACCATTGTAAAGAGCAATCTAATCTATGGTGCAGAGACATGAAAATAAGGCACGGCAACCAAATAAAACTGGCAGCAGTAAAAATTGATGCCTACAGAATTTTAGAAATTTCCCGAAGAGATAGAGTTCGAAACCAAGAAATTCCCCGGCAGAGGATATGAATATAGGGATCTTTGGCAACTGACATCGCACACAAACAACTTATACTGTACGGACATGTGCAGAGAATGGATGATACCAGACTTCCAAAACAAGTTATGCAATTGATACCCCAAAACCGGAAAAAGAGTGGAAAACCCAAGAAGATTTGGAAGAAGGGTATAACAAAAGCAATGAGTCCCAGAAATCTAAACGAGGGCCGAATGACGTTGAAATTGGGCATCGGACAACAACGTAAGATGATAAGTATACAGAGTATGTTGAAAAATGCACATTCAAATTTCAAGCAATGGTAAAACATGGGTTCGGAAATTCATAGTTTTAAAGATACAAAATGTTAAAACTTAAAAAAATAGTTTTTTTTCTAATTATCATAAATACCATTATTTTTTTTTAATTTGCTACATTAAAACATCAATGTTATAAATTTTATTTTGTTATCAAGTACCGTATGATCAAAAAAAAACGGCGTCCAATTGGCCTGGAAATGACTATTGTTGACATTTCCCATATAATTTTACATATAAAATGACAGCGATCTTCATTTCATAGCCATCGCTGACGCCGTTTTTTTTTCGATCATACGGTATTTTAATAGTTCACTCCAGTTGCAAATTGAAATTTATTTTTTTAAGCTTTTTAATGAGGTTGTTTAACGAAAGGACAGATGATATGACCAAGCTAGCTACCATCAATACTCTTCTGCGGTGCTGCAAAAAGAGTCACATGAATGGCCACGTATCTCTAGAATGATAGAGAGATTTCACCAGAGACAAGCGAAAATATTAATGGCAGAACATTCGCCAAAACTTAGACAGATAAGCAAAGTCAAAAATAGGGATTGCAAATTTACCGACTTTTTAAATTACCGGTAATCGGTAATAATATAACACATAACTTCTAATTGCATTGTAGGAACATATAACAAAACCCGTTATATGAGTATGTAATAACACATGTTGTACAGTAAAACATAACATTCAATTTAAACGAAAAAAACAAACCAAACATTTTAGGTACTATAATATATTATTTAATTAGTATTAATTAAATTAATAATATTTGAATAATTTGATTTTTTTTTATGTTTAAGAGATAAAGCTCTGAAACAAAGCTTGTGTAAGTATCTTCGCTTAACTAGGACCTAATAAAGCCTAGTGTAAATTTATTTTTTTAATGATTACTGGAATTACCAGTATGAAAATGTTCATAGTAGAACATTCGCCAAATTCTCGGCAGATTTGATAAGCAAAGACAAAAAGACTGTCAAAGCTGTAGTAGTAAGTCTACTAACAGGGCATTGTAAGCTTAATAGGCATCTAAAGCATATATGGGATTGCAGGAAAAAAACATCTACAGATATTAGAAGAGGACCACGATAGATCTAAAAAGGTCGCAACGCCACGCCATGCCACCTCAACAATGTAGTCTAAATCTACCTTTGTTAGTAAATTTTTTACTTACCACCCATGAACTTGTGCGTACTGATACGTCTCGTACAACGACTGTTTCAAATCCGTCCACCAAGGACTAGTAAAGAAGTGATGTAAAGCCTCATGTATAGGAATTTCGTCACCGTTTGAATCAGTAATCTTTCCATTAAAGTACAGGTACGAAGACCACAGCCCGATGTACAAAATCCCACAGAAAACCAGAACACCCAATCTCTTAGTTAAGGGTTTCTTTTTCTTCGGTTGCCTTCGCCATTCCTTTGAGTACGTATCGAATGTGAAGGCCGCTGTGAACATGACTATGGTTAGCCAAATGTTCTCATCGAAGAAGTACCATCTGCTGAAGTAGGATAAGTATGAAGTAATTATAGTCACTTTAGGGCTGCCTTGTTCTCTTCCGATGTTACCAACGATCCATACGCCTAAAATATATCATGTAATATTAATTTAGTTCATTGAAGTAGTTCTAGTTAGGGTAAAACCCGCTACAAAGGTATTGACATTATACAGGGTGGTCCGAACTGTATTCCGGAAACATCGATACTATATTCTGCAGATAAAAATGAGTAAAAAAGTTCGTATAAATGTATATCCTAAAATGCTTAGTTTGGGTGATACAGGGTGTAGAAATTTCTTTTTTATTTTGATTTTTTTCAAATAATTTCTGTTGTAACGTCAATATTTGGATCAAAATTGTTGTCAGGGTGTTTTTTGACATGAGAAATTTAATTTAGATATCAATATTACTCCTACTTGTAGAGGGTGCCACCTATACGTCGTACAAAATAAAAACCGTTGCATGTCATCGAGCACGTGCGTTGATTGTAGACAGCATTGTTGCCAGATTGAAATCGGAAGAGAAATATTTTTGAAAAATTTACTATATCTAAGATCTATTAAAAATTCTAAAATAAACTTTAAATTGTTAACAGTTTTAAATAGTTTCAAGCAGCGCTGAAAAAAATATTTTTAAACAAAACATGTTTTTTTATTGTTTAAAACAAATTTTTATGGTTTTAAAGAACATTGTAAATACAAAGTCGAAAATATGTTTACAACACTTTTATACTCTGTTTTAAACCATATCATGTTGAGTAATGATAAAACCAAAGGACAAAACTTAATTCGATTTTAGAAATCTTAATGGTGCTCCTCCAAGTAGTAGTACAGAATTAATAGTTTATTTAGACAATATTAAGTTGAGCTGATTACTCTGTTTTTTATTCCTTATGTATTATAGTTGTTTTTTATTTTGAAAGAGTTTTTCTCATTTTTTATTGAAATAAACACCTACACACCAAACCTATTTAATACTCTGTTTTAAACAAATATTTAAAACAAGTAATGGTGTCTTAAAAACATTGTTTTAAACATTTTGTTCAATTAATAACAGTCTGGGTTTCGGGCAATTCAAAATATTATCTATTATAAAGAGTGGTACATGATTATAAAATATATAGACAACTTTTTGAAATATTCCAAGAATTAATAAATATTTTCCATAGAAGATTAGTAGGTTATGTTTCTCAAAATAAAAAAAAACTCACTTCACTTGTCTACTTTAAAATACTTTATTATAATATAACGGGCCGTTATTGTCCCTTTCTTTCTCAAAATATTGTAGCAGAGATGACACTAATTCTTGGCACCGACTATTTAACTGCTTAGACATTTTTCGAAGAAAAAACTAACAACTACTACACAAAATATTCTGAAAACAACAGTTTTCGATCGATAGATAAAGTTTTAAAAGATTCAATACACACGAGACACAACTTTCAACTAATGTTCAGAAAATTCTGGCAAATTTCAAATAAACGTGGCTGCAACCGCTTCCTCGCTGCAACCAACCGCTGCAACCGCTTCCTCGCCGTTGCCAACACACTATCGAGTAGGAGATTTAAAACTCATTGAGAACGTCCCATAGGGGCCATATTTGTGTAGTGGTAGCACTGCACACATTTATTAGCCTAATGCCCGCAACGGTTTTTATTTTGTACGACGTATACATATTTTTAACTGGTTTGATGAGTAATAACTTTTCGTCCGTACCTGTATATATTGAGTAAAAAATATACATTTACGAAGTTAAAAAATTCTCTTGGTAAAAATTACCAAGAGCTACGATAAGGGCTTTCGAGATATTTGGAATTAAAAAAAAATAAATTATCAATACCTGTCATTATTGACATAAATTAAACATGTCGACTAAATAGTTATTAGACTGAAATCATAAATTTGATTTTTTTTTGTGCCAAAAGTTCAACACAAACTATTTTATCTACCATCATGTTTTCGAAGAAAAATTTATAATTAATTTATAAAATATAAGTTCCCAAATTTACCCTTTCAGTCAAATAACTATCTACTCTATGTGTTTATTTTTTGTCAATAATGACATGTTTTGGCTATTTCCATTCTAAATATCTTGAGAACGGTTGCTCGTAGCGATTTTGAGTAGACATTTTTTACGTGAAAAATCACGAACATGTATATTTCTTCACTCAGTAGGTTTATACATATATGGACGAAAAGTTATTACTCCTCAAAATAGTTAAAATACATGTAGGTGGCGCCCCCTATAAATAGGAGACATATTGACATCAAAATCCCCCCCAAATTCTTGTCAAAAAACTCCCAGGCACCAATTTTCATCAATATTTATGTTAAAATTACAAAAATAAAAAATCGGTCGTAGGTGTACCTTAAAAATATTTATACTAAAATTTTTGTAGGAATGGGTGTAATTTTCACCTTAATACCGTAATTTTTCTTGATTTTTGTAAAATTAAAAAGTTAAAGCACTTAGCAAAACATAGGCACCTCAAATCTCATTCAAAAGGGAATAACGATTCTTAAAATATCATAAAAAAAGTGTTTATTTTTTAAAGTTTGATGCCCTCTAGCGGACTAACGAAGCACTTTTGTATAGATGTAAATTTTGTCCAACGAACTTATTTTGATTCCAAAAATACGTAGCAGATCTATGTCCATGGAATATGGGACACCCTGTATTGTAGTAAAAAGTAGTTTTTCTTTTAAGTATGTTTCTACATACTACTGTGCTATTATAATATACAGGGTGAGTTTCCTACAATGTTCTCTATGGGTATCTCGGAAACTACTAGAGATAGAGAGTCGGTTAAATGGGGAAAGAATTGCAGTTTTGTGGGGTCATAAATATGCGCCTTTCAGATTTTTGAAAAAGTTCATGGCTTACTAGATATTTGGAAAAAAACAAATTTCGGCTATTTTAAAAATTGCCCCTAATTCCATTATAAGTTATTTTAGACAAAAAGTTTTCAGATAAAAGTTGTAGATAATCACCTCCTTAATGAGACTGTGTCCTCCGTTTTCTTCTAAAGCCTGTCATTTTTGACATATGACACAAACATATGTTTTTTTAAATGGAAACCATAGTTGGCCATGACTTCATAAAAAGCGCCATTTTTTAAGCTTTTCAGCGATATTAGCTATAATATGTTTTCTTCGAAAAATTACTGAGTTATAGCCAATTCTTATCATTTTTAAACAATTTCACTTAGTTAGCCATGGAAACAACTTCAATCGCCGTTGCTCTCAGAAATATGAAGCTGTCACATCCAAACTTTGTAAATTAAAATAAACAATTGTAAATATGAATTTTTCAAATGAAGAAAAGCGTGTAGGATTATTGGTTCAACTTTTTTTGACCATACATTTTCGAGGATACGTTGGCCGGTGAATGTTACTTTTCTTAGAGAACGGTTTTAAAGACATGTTAGAAAAGTTAAATTTAGCTATTGCCAATTCTTATCTTTCTTGACTAATTTCAATTAGATTGCATGGTATTCTTATTCTGTTATGATTTATAACTTAAAAAAAGTCAGATTACTAAAAGTTCCTTACAATTTACATTACACAAACTAAAGCTTAAAAAAATAATATCACTGCATACACTTTAAGTTAGTTTAGAAAGTGTTCAAAAAATCCGCCAATTTTGAGTTGCATCTTTTTAAAACTGAATTACTACCTATTCTCACAGAAGGACCGGTCGACTTAATTAAACTTCTCTCGTACCGCCAATTCGAGTGCCTCTCTTAATTCATTAGTTCTTTTGTAAACTTTATTGTTAACCATACCGCATAAAAAATTCTAAAATGGATAGGTCAGATGATCAAGGAGGCCCATGCAATTGGTCCACCTCTCCCTATCCCTGAGTTTGCATAATTATGATATAAATAATTTTTAACATTTCTTTCATTATGGGGGGAGTCATAATGAAAGTCATGCAAGAACCACTCTATTGATGCGCGAGTATCTACACGCTTTTCTTCATTTGAAAAATTCATATTTACAATTTTTGTTTATTTTAATTTACAAAGTTTGGATGTGACAGCTTCACATTTCTGAGAGCAACGGCGATTGAAGTTGTTTCCATGGCTAACTAAGTGAAATTATTTAAAAATAATAAGAATTGGCTATAACTCAGTAATTTTTCGAAGAAAACATAATATAGTTTATATCGCTGAAAAGCTTAAAAAATGGCGCTTTTTATGAAGTCATGGCCAACTACGCTTTTCATTTAAAAAACGTATGTTTGTGTCATATGTCAAAAATAACAGGCTTTAGAAGAAAACGGAGGACACAGTCTCATTAAGGATGTGATTATCTCCAACTTTTATCTGAAAACTTTTTGTCTAAAATAGCTTATAATGGAATTAGGGACAATTTTTAAAATAGCCGAAATTTGTTTTTTTCGAAATATCTAGTAAGCCATGAACTTTTTCAAAAATCCGAAAGGAGCATATTTATGACCCCACAAAACTGCAATTCTTTCTCCATTTAACCGACTCTCTATCTCTAGTAGTCTAGAGGAAACTCACCCTGTATGTAGCTACAATAATTATAGAAAATAATTATTTATTATAAATAGCAGATATTGAAATAGAACAGACCAATTAAATTAATATTATTTAGTACCTCTTTAATTATTATTGAAATTAAATCTAACTTGGTATGTTATTACTACAATGTTCAAAATACCTGAAATAGATTTATAATAGACATATTTAAATTAATAAACCCATAATGCACTCTAGAGGTCATTATTAAGTACACATAAGTTTTTTCAAGCTTAAAAATAAGGAGCTCTATAAGAAACAGTGACATTTAGTAATTAAATCTCATTTCATATTTGATAAAAATTTTAAAAATGGGGGTCAAAGTTAATGGAGTGTGGATTAATAATATCCGCTATGGATTAATAATATCGACGATACGGTCTTAATTGCAGACAATATACACGACCTACAACAACTGGTCAACAAGGTAGGAGAAGAGAGCAAAGCAATGGGTTTAAACATCAACATCAATGAACCGAATTTTTGATTATATCCAGAAACCCAGATATGTTTATAAACACCATCCTAACATTTAACTCAAGGCCCATAGAAAGAGTAGATAAATTTAAGTACTTGGGCATCTGGCTCTCCGAAGATTGGACATCAGACAAGGAAATTAAATGTCGCATCGAACAAGCTCGGCAGGCACTCTTGAGGTTTCGAAAAGTACTTGTCTGTTCTGATTTTAACCTTAGCCTTAGATTAAGATTCGTAAAGTGTTATGTGTGGCCGGTGCTCCTTTATGGTATGGAAGGTTGGACATTGAAAGCAGCTACCATCAACAAATTGGAGGCTTTTGAGATGTGGCTATATCGCAGAATCCTGAAGATACATTGGACGGCTAGATTGACAAATGAGGATGTTCTCAGACGCGTTGACAAAGAGCGTGAATTATTTGAATTGATTAAAAAGAAAAAGACCGCATACCTGGGGCACATAATGCGAAACCCCAAATATCAATTCTTACAGTTGTTGATAGAAGGCAAGATCGAAGACCGGAGGAGTATCGAAAGGAAGAAAATGTCTTGGCTGAGGAATATTAGACAGTGGACAGGGCTACTCGATGTTCAGTCGTTAATACAGACCGCCCGGAACAGAGAAGCAATGGAAAATGTTATCGCAAACATCCATTAATGGATCTGCACTAGAAGAAGAAGAAGAAGAAGAAAAATTTTAAGAATGATAATTTTTTTTTATTTGAGAATGTAAGTAAAACTCTTTCAAAATAAGTTAAATAAAATAAATTATATTGAAATATGTATACATAGATCGTCCTAATTCGAGTATTAGGTACTATACAGTGTTACTAACTCATATGCTAATTAAATGACTATAACAAGTGCTATAATTGATATAATGAATTAATTGCTTCTCTTACCTAATGCTACCGCCAATGGAATAAACCAATGCAAATAAGTGTTTAAATTGATACCATAAACCTCATCTTCTGGTATAGCAAGCATTACCAATTGACCCCAGAGGTATCCTACCATCAAGGCGGATATAAACCTGCTAGTTGAAAATGGAGGCTGAAAATAAAAGGATTATTATTGCAGCATAACTACTGTTTTTTTTTTAAATAAATATAGTATAAAACAATGTTTCTATAATTTTATAAATTATTGTTTTCCAATTAGTGGACATTTCAATTATATCAAAATTATCTATAATGATTTTTTGTAAATTTGGTCTTGAATGAAAAGCTTTAATGGCGTAATTTATTTTGTAAATGGTAAATTACAAGAGAAATAATGATTTAGATTTAGGCTTAATTTAAATATAATGTTTCTTTAATACAGTAATAGATAATATTATTATGATTTCTTTAAAACTTTCTACAGTATATCCCTGCATTGTCTTTACAAGAGGAAAATCTTTTTTATTATGAATATTTTGATAAAAATGCATTTTTTTTTATAAAAATTGCTTGTTCTAAAATGGTTATTCCCGTTTAAAATTTTCCAAATTTCCATACCGTTTTAGAGAAAATTAAGTCCTAAAAATCATAACATGTCTCTATGGTAATATAATTTCGTTTTCGTTCTTTGTTAGATTTTTGCTGATCATAGATAAATGCAACAAGTTTAGATTGGAAAGCCCGTAAAAATTTTGGGTCGCGAAATTTATTTGGGTCGCGACCGTTATACGCGATCTGGCGCTGCTATATCGGTCGCTAAGAACAACGGCAGACAAAAACAGAAATAATTTTCTATTGTCAAAGTCAGAATCTTCAAAAATCATAATAATCTTTCAAAATCTAAACCGCTCTCATTAAAGAAATTCCGAAAAGTGTTTATAGCGTCCATTTTCAAAGTAATTATTGCTATCTTGTGAGTTTAATTCAAGTTTTATTTACTCCAACCGGTGATAATTGTGAAAAAGTGGCATTAAAAACTTAAAAAGCTGTGCTGTGAACTGTGAACTGCAAAAACCATCGTGGATCGTGGTATAACGTCGGTTTCCAATGTTTCATAGGTATTTCATACATGCGTCCTTATATAAAATAAAGGTTCTTGTATGCAACGCACTGTATTTTATTTATAAAATTAAACGAAAATAATAATAAATTTGAATAAACAATATTTGGCGATATAATTCCGGAAAAAGCCGAACCGCTCCGAAATTTTCAAAAGTTTTGGGTCGCGACCGTTGCAAGAATAGCGCCAAATAGTGTTTACATTGTCCTTATGGGCACTTTCCAATCTAAACTTGTTACATTTATCTATGTTGCTGATAAATACGTCATATTTTTTGCTGTGTTTAAAAATTGATTTAGTTCAATGCTACGAAAAGAGTAATAGTGATATAATAGCTACCGGAAAATGTGATACTTTATCAACAGCAAAAAGTATAACGTTAATCAAATTAATTAATCACATAAGCACTATTAACTAAATTAACACTATCTTCAAACTTACTTTTCTATTTCTCCTCATTTTCTCTATCAAGTCCTGCAAAAACTTCGGGTCATTATTACAATCCCTTACGTATCTAGGAATCTTCGTAATATCGGCCAACCATCCCAAACCGTATCCTCCGAGTGTACTCCATGTGAGAAAAGCATGTGCGTCCCTCTCCAAGTAGAAAAGGTGAAGTCCAAAAACTCCACCGAATAACCAGAAAACATAAGCCAAAAAAATGCTTTTTCTTGGTTTATTTGGGATAATGATCACTTCGGTTTGGGGAAATTGTGTTGGGGGTGGTGCTGACTGCGTTTGGGGTACTAAAAGATCATGTTTCTTTAGTTTTAGTTTCTTAAGGAGGGAGTGTTAACTTTATATAAACAAACTTGGACAGAAAGAGTGTTAAATTATATTTAACTTGCTGGTATACATACTACAAGGGGTTTCAAAAAACATGTGCCATCACTCGGGGGGAAGCAAGAGCGTCATATCAACATAGGTCCGATTCTGCTTTATTTCGCAGCTATAGAGTGTTAAAATTTTAATAATCTTTCGATTTATTATAATTTCCTTCCAAGTACTTTATATTATATTTATATACCGGGTGCGTCTCAAAAGTGGCTCACCCCTATAACTTTTTTACTTTTTTAGCTAAAAAAACGAGATTTGGTATGTTAGTATATGACATAAATTAGGATTGATTGGTGTATTCAATTGTTTTTGGTCACTTCCTGTTTCACCGGAAATAACTACAACTTTTGATTTTTAAATGGCACCCCCGGGATTTTTTAACTTCATTCGATAGAAAATGTCACTCTGAATAGAATGACATATCATATATCAACTTTTGACATTTTCGCATATGATTTATTTGAAATTATAACTTGCGGTTAGTAACGAAAATTTGAATTGAAATACCAAGTGCGTGGTATCAAAATATTCGTAAAAAAATGCTTTTTCTAAATATGCTTACGAGCCACCCTCGTTCCATTTGAAAAAATTGAGAAATGATTGATATGATAAAAATACGATTTGAGCATTTTCTAACTGGCCTGGACAAGGCACTAAAAACATTAGACCATCAAATCTATTTTTCCAAAGCTCCTTGATGAAGAATTAGTGTTTTTAACATAGTCATGGCACTCTAATTGAATTTTAAAATATAACTTTTTATTAAACGAGAACGTCAAAAGTTGACATATTCTGAATGACTATTCAGAATGTCATTTTCTATCGAATAAAGTAAAAAAATACCGAGGGTGCCATTTAAAAATCAAAAGTTGTAATTATTTCCGGTGAAACAGGAAGTGACCAAAAACAATTGAATACAGCAATCAATCCTAATTTATGTCATATACTAACATACCAAATCTCGTTTTTTTTTATCTGAAAAAATAAAAAAGTTTTAGGGGTAGCCACTTTTGAGACGCACCCGGTATATTCCGGAAATATTTACAGAATAGCATTTACTTCATCTTCATTTTTATCTTTATCTTTATTAGTGTTAGCATTTTTATTTTGTCCCACAACTGGCTATTTATTTTTTTTAGAAATTTCATTAGTCAATGTGTAGGTTTTCCATTAGTCAAATTCCATTAGTCAATGTGTAGGATTTCTGATCAGGTTTTATTGTGTATTACCAAATATATCATACGCTATCAAAAGTTCCATTCACTAAAATAAAGTATTTTTTAATGAGCCGCCTTGTATTTTAGAAGCATAGCATTAGACAACGTCTTGGAAGTGTGTCAGATAGCATTTTTTTCAGATTTCGAAAGCCACTCATGTAATTTCTTTTTAATAGTTTATTCGATATTTGAAAAATCATACACCAATGTTAAATGTTTATTGGTTTCAAAAGGATATTGACAGTGGCAGCTGTTCTCTGTCATTTTAATTACATATAAATTGTATTTTGCATCATTTTCGAAACATAGTTGGAAATATTGTTTAGTTTTAAATATACAATTTTTACAAATTTTTATTACCGTAAAATAAAATTATTAAAAAGACAACATATTTTTGCAATCAGAAAAATACGTGCTAATACACTTTTAATATACAGGGTACGCCCTTTACAAAAATATAATATATATCAATAACTCTGAGACAATTGACAACATATGATATTGTTGGTAACGTACACAATAAAATTTGACAAAACAACCCCACAATTTGTTTTTTTAATGAATGTTCTATCTCCAAAAATAGAAAAGTTAGAGCTAGTTAAAAGTGCACCAAAATAAAAACTAGTCAAATAAATTTTTTGTTACAGGTTTTAATATAATTCCATCCTAAACACAGGTATAACGTTAAAAATCTAAATATATGAATGATTTGATCATGTGTTTAATAAATCGCTAATATATGGCTTGAAAATACCGGGTGTTTCTCAAAAATGGCTCACCCCTAGAACTTTTTTTATTTTTTCCAATAAAAAAAACGAGATTTGGTATATTAGTATATGACATAAATTAGGATTGATTGACGTATTCAATTGTTTTCGGTCACTTCCGTTTTCCCCGGAAATACTACAACTTTTGATTTAAATGGCACCCTCGGTAGTTTTTTACTTTATTCGAAAGAAAATAACACTCTGAATAGAATGACATATCATATGTCAATTTTTGACATTTTCGCATATGGTGTATTTGAAATTATAACTTGCGGTTCGTAACGAAAATTGGTGTGGTATAAAATTATTCGTAAAAAAAGCTTTTTTCAAATATGCTAATGGGACGCCCTCGTTCCATTTGAAAAATTTGAGATATGATTAAAAATACGATTTGGGCATTTTCTTACTGGCCAGGACAAGACACTAAAAACTAAAAACATTAAACGATCAAATCTATTTTTCCAAAGCTCCTTAATTAAGAATTAGTGTTTTTAACATAGCCATAGCACTCTATACTGAATTTTAAAATACGATAAGCGAGAATGTCAAAAGTTGACATATGATATGTCATTCTATTCAGAAAGTAATTTTCTATCGAATAAAGCAATGAGGTTATATGGAAAAAAAGTAAAAAAATATCGAGGGTGCCATTTAAAAATAGAAGTTGTAGTCGTTTCCGGCGCAACAGGAAGTGACCAAAAACAATTGAATACGTCAATCAATCCTAATTTATGTCAACACACAAAATCTCGTTTTTTTATTTGAAGAAATAAAAAAATTATAGGGGTTAGCTACTTTTGAGACGCACCCGGTATAGTTCTATTTTCCGAGATCAATGTCAAGGGCGTACCAATGAAATGGCCAGAAGGGTTTCTTAAACTTATTCCAAATGAAACAATTATGATATTTGGTTGAAAAAAAATGGTTAAATTTGAAATTTCTTGGATTTTAAGTAGGTATAATCTTTAAGTATAAACCAAGGGGGGGTTATAACTATTATAGTAAATATATTTCATCTACCCTACTGCTTAATGATTTTTTTTCTCTTACTGATCACCTCAAAACTACACAATATTATTTAAAAATCTATGTTTTTTTACTATTAAAATTACTTGTACTGTAGACTATCGTCTCTTTACTTGGTCTCTGAGGTCCAACGTCAGCATTTTCGCTGCTCTGAAGACCAAACAAATTGCCCAGAACGCAGAACAAGTTCTTGGCAATGGACTGCTTCAGATGCTGTGGAATTTTACCACTTCCCACATTATCCTGAGCCTGGTTCTCACTTTTAGGTCTTTTCCTATGTTTAGCGCTGCTGTTCTGATTCATTTTCACAAATTCAGCGGAAAAAATGCACTTGTTATACGGAAAATCACCTTGCACTGTTCAAAAACGTTCCGGTTAATATTTTTTTACTAAACAATGCTTAGTACACGTAAGTATTACATATTTGTAGATAAAAATCGTTTATTTAACAGTTGCACATACATAAAATTCAATGCGAAACAAGTTTAAGGTTTTGCCACACTATTTCGCGAAAAAAAATATGTATTTTCATGCGCGTTTTTGAGTATTTAAATAGTGATATTTCTGTTGGTTTTGAATGGAGAATAATTTTAAGTTCACGGTTGGCATTTTTTGTACTTTTAGCAAAAGGCTGACGACGCGTCGTACGACGAACGACTGACCCAGGATGGCACTAAGTAGGCCATGAATGCTTTTTACTGTTATACCTGGTCTTACCTGGTTGGTGCCTAAGACATTTGGGAGGGGTCGGGACAAACTGCATGAATGATAATTGCGTTGTTGATGGAAAATAATAATAAAATTTTATAATAGCAGACCCGACCACGCGTTGTTGTGGCTAAGGTCAGTGATGGGGCAAGTACCCGATATATTAAAATTTAGGTAAATACACAAGTTTTTGCACCTGATATACCGGGTGTGTCTCAAAAGTGGCTCACCCCTATAATTTTTTTATTTTTTCAGATAAAAAAAACGAGAATTGGTATGTTAGTATATGACATAAATTAGAATTGATTGACGTATTTAATTGTTTTTGGTCTCTTCCTGTTTCACCGGAAATGACTACAACTTTTGATTTTTAAATGGCATTCTCAGTATTTTTTACTTTATTCGATAGAAAATGACATTCTAAATAGAATGACATATCATATGTCAATTTTTGACATTCCCGCTTAATAAAAAATCGTATTTTAAAATTTAATCTAGAGTGCCATGGCTGTGTTAAAAACACTAATTCTTAATCAAGGAGCATTGGAAAAATAGATTTGATCGTCTAATGTTTTAGTGTCTTGTCCTAGCCATTTAGAAAATGCTCCAATCGTATTTTTAATCATATCTCATTTTTTTCAAATGGAACGAGGGTGGCTCATTAGCATATTTGGAAAAAGCATTTTTTTACGAATAATTTGATACCACACACTTGGTATTTCGAGTCAAATTTTCGTTACAAACAGCAAGTTATAATTTCAAATAAACCATATGAAAAAATATCAAAAGTTCACATATGATGTGTCATTCAATTTAGAGTGTTATTTTCTATCGAATAAAGTAAAAAAAATACCCAGGGTGCCAAAGGGTTTAAAAATCAAAAGTGGTAGACATTTCCGGTGAAACAGGAAGTAACCGAAAACAATTGTCATATACTAACATACCAAATCTCGTTATTCTGAAAAAATAAAAAAGTTATAAAGGTGAGCTATTCTTGAGACGCACCCGGTATACCCAAAGGATCAATAAATGGTATATTGAATTTGGGTAAATACCATTATACCCGGTATATATTCAATCATACCCACATTTTTAATTTATTCTAACAATTTTTAAAAACAATTTCTTGTTAGATTAAAATTATTGAATTACTAATATCGCTATTAAAAAATATGGGTTGATGGTAGAAGGGTGAAAATTTAGGGTTGTATGTATTTTTTAATGCCAAATCATAAACAAATTAAAATAAAAAATTTTGTTAAAAAAAATTGGGGTGGGCCACCCTTACCATCACTTAGGGGTAAAAAATAGCTATCCACCTATCCTCAGAGCCTCTGATGATACATATAAAAGTTCATCAAAATCGGTCAAGCCGTTTCTAAGGAGTAAGGTAACAAAAAATTAAAAAAACAAGCCTTATTAAAAAATAGGGGTTGATGGTAGAAGGGAGAAGATTTAGAGTTGTATGTATATTTTAATGCCAAATCATAAAAAAAAATATAAATAAAAAATTTTGTCAAAAAATAAATTGGGGTGGGCCACCCTTACCATTACTTAGGGGTAAAAAATAGCTATCCGCCTATCCTCAGAGCCTCTGATGATACATATAAAAGTTCATCAAAATCGGTCAAGCCGTTTCTAAGGAGTAAGGTAACAAAAAATTAAAAAAACAAGCCTTATTAAAAAATAGGGGTTGATGGTAGAAGGGAGAAAATTTACAGTTGTATGTATATTTTAATGCCAAATCATAAAAAAAATAAAAATAAAAAATTTTGTCAAAAAATAAATTGGGGTGGGCCACCCTTACCATCACTTAGGGGTAAAAAATAGCTATCCGCCTATCCTCAGAACCTCTGATGATACATATAAAAGTTTATCAAAATCGGTCAAGCCGTTTCTAAGGAGTAAGGTAATAAAAAATTAAAAAAACAAGCCTTATTAAAAAATAGGGGTTGATGGTAGAAAGGAGAAAATTTAGAGTTGTATGTATATTGTAACGCCAAATCATAAAAAAATAAAAATCAAAAATTTTGTCAAAAAATAAATTGGGGTGGGCCACCCTTACCATCACTTAGGGGTAAAAAATAGCTATCCACTTATCCTCAGAGCCTCTGATGATACATATAAAAGTTCATTAAAATCGGTCAACGTAAGGTAATAAAAAATTTAAAAAAACAAGCCTTATTAAAAAATAGGGGTTGATGGTAGAAGGGAGAAAATTTAGAGTGGTATGTATATTTTAATGCCAAATCATAAAAAAAATAAAAATAACAAATTTTGTCCAAAAAAAATTGGGGTGGGCCATCCTTATCACCTAGAGGTATAAAAAATTAAATTTCATCAAAATCAGTTAAGCAGTTTCGGAGGAGTAAGGTAACTAAAACTGCGACACGAGAATTTTATACAGTATGTCCCCGGATTGTCTGTACAAGAGGAAAAACTTTTTTATTATTGATATTTTGAGAAAAATGCATTCTTCATAAAAAGTTTTGCTTGTTTTAAAATGTGTTGTTAATCCCGTTTATACTTTTCAAAATTTTCATACTGTTTTATAGAAAATTAAGAAAAACATGAAAATATTGTTGAATTTTTTCTAAAAATCAAAAGGCGTTTCTGTGGTAATATCAATCCGATTTCATTCTTTGATAGATATATAGTTATAATAGTTATAATTAATTTCGATGCTGATAAAGTATCATATTTTTCGATAACTATCATCACCGTTTCTGTAGTATTTTAAAACAACACAAAATATGACGTTAATTAAAATTCTATGAATAAATCTATCAAAAAATTAAAACGAAGTTATATTGCAATAGAAACGCGTTTTGATTTTTAGGAAAAATTCAACTGTATTTTTATGGTTTTGTGTTTGAATTTTCTCTAAAACGGTATGGAAATTCAAAAAGCATAAACGGGATTAACCATTTTAGAACAAGCAAACATTTTTATGAAGAATTATTTTTTCTCTTAATGTCAATAATATAAAAGTTGTTCTCTTGTAAAGACAATCTGGGGACATACTGTAGAAAAATGTTCTTGTTTTAATCGATTTAGACATTTTTTACTTCCGTTAGAAAATTGCTCCTTAAATATAAAGTCACTGAAAAATTGGGAAATTTCTTTCTATGGATCCTCCAGTGATACTTTTACAGATTACAGATATTACTACAAAGTCCAATTTAAAAAAAAAAAGTTTAGTTCAATAGGTAGAAATACATTTGTATGCATGTACTGCAGTAAAAACTCTAAGTAGGCATAATTAAAAAATCACTTATGTTTTATAGTAATTAAGCACTTATAATTTAATTTTAGAAATATTTTTATAACTTTTGCACCATTACAGTAATTAAATATTAATTAGTAATAAATACAGGAACTTATAATCTGTGGAAAGTCCTACAATTATTGTTATATTTATTATAATAAATGGCTATCAATTACACCAATAAGTAGATATATGCATATTTCAAAGTGCATGACTAGTTCTTATAAAATGTAAATTATTCTACTATTTTTTAGATTCTGATAGACAGATAATAAAAAAAAACTATATATTTAATGACAGAAAATTCCATTTTTTTGTTTACATTACAAAGATGTAAGCAAATAATTTGTTAGAATTTAGGTTCAATAATATATCATATATGAAACGTGGGCTACTCTTCAAAATCAAGAGTTTTTATTTCTTGGTCCTAATTCTGGGCAAACTTCATTTAATATCTGTTATATTTTTGTAATATTTTTTTATGATTTGGTTTGCTTTAGTTTGCATTATGAAATTATGCTAGAAAAATATATTTTCCAAATATTTTTGGTATTATTTTTTTCTAGGACTGTACTCATCGGGGGGTTTCAAAAAACATATGCTACCTCTCGTGGGGAGATTCCTCACGTAAAAATAAGATTTATTTTTCATATCAAGATAGGTCCGATTCTGCTTTGTTTCGTACAGGGGCGTAGATAGGTGTATGCTATGGGGGTGGTACTATGATTAAGTCGCAAAAAAAATCACCGTCGGAATTTTTTTGTCGAATTAAAACGACGGCGATTTTTTTGTCTTCAAAAAGATATAAAAACATAACACAAAAATTAAAATATAGATTTGTAAATAACATAAACAAAAATTAAACAACGACGTTTATTAGTTAATTTTCTATAAACTATAAAAAAAACTCTAAACTATCAAAAAAAACTATAAAAACTATAATCTGCACTGGCCAATAAGAACACTTTGTGTGCTTTTAATTAGGTAGAACATATTATAAACGATAAATCAACATAATTAAAAGCATACAAAGTGTTCTTATGTCGGATTTTAATTTAAAAAAATCTTTTCATAGTCAATGACTATTTCAATTCTCGTATCTCGTCAAGCGTCAGGGGGGGGTACTGTCCCCCAGTACCCCCCCCCTTATCTACGCCCTTGGTTTCGTAGATACAGGGTGTTAAAGCCTTAATAATGTTTCCATTTATTATAATTTTCTTCCATGTACTTTTAATGATTCGAATGAAATTTTGAGGGTAAAAGTTACTATAAGTGCTACATATTTTAATGCTAAAAAAGTGTCGATAAATTCATCAGGGACGTACATATGGGTTATCACTGGAATATTTTAAAAAAAACATGTGCGCCACTGACTTTTCGTTTGATATCAAAATTGTGTCGGCCGTTTAATGCCAATTAAAAGTTATCTCTTGATATTTTGCCAAATTCGGCCTCCTTGATGAGATAAATTTTGTGAGCAATTTTATGAATCACAATTAATAAAGTTAAAATAAAAATAAAATTAATAAATTATATATTTTACCTAATTTATTATTAAATATATTATTACGTTTCTAGTTACTCACTATTGTGGTTTTAGAGTATATGACGGGTTAACACCAAGTCGTATATGTCTCTCTATTGCATAAATTTCCTTACTATAGTTGTAGTTTTTAGGATTACAGCTTTCTGCATGTTAGTATCAATGTATGGGAGTAGATCTATTGATATGTTGGGAGAATGCTTTTGTAGTTATACCTGTTACTGATATAAGTATAGGTATAATTGTTACTTTACTTTGTTTCCACATTTTCTGAATTTCTATAGCAAGTGGTGTGTATTTTCAATATTTTCTCTTTCTTTTGATGTTACGTTGCTGTCGCTGGGTACAGCGATATCGATAATAAATGTTTGTTTATCTATTTTATTGATCAGTGTTATGTCAGGCCTATTGTTTATTATTGTTATATCGGTATGGATTGTTCTGTCCCAGTACAGTTTATGTGTTTCATTTTCCATTGCGTTTTTGGGATATTATTACTATTAGTTATTATTATTATTATTAGTCCAATCTACAGCAATTTCAAATAAAAAATAATAGTGTTTCAGATAAATACAAAAAACCTAATTTTAAAACGTTTTAACATCCTGTAATTTCAAAACTATGCATTTCCATACCCATGTTTATAGAAACTATTTTTCATATTTTTTGATGAGGAATCAATGAATACTTATTTAAAACTTTCGCAAGTTAATGATATTAAATTTTTTAAAGGTATTATTATAAAGCTATTAGACTTGGATCAAGGCAATAATAAAAATGCGTTTATCTCATTAAGGAGGCCGAAATCGACAAAATATCAAGAGACAATTTTTAATCGGCATTAAACTGCTTACAATATTTAGCTTTAAAATATGTCGCATTTATAGTAACTTTTACCCTCAAAATTTTATTTGAAACGCTAAAAGTTTCTGGGTTAAAATTATAATAAATCGAAACGCCCTGTAGCTAAGAAATAAAGCATATTCGGACCTATGTTGATATGAAAAATAAATCTTATTTTTACGTGAGGAATTTCTCCACGAGAGATGGCACATGTTTTTTGAAACACCCTGTATAAGATAGCAGTGATTAACTTCCCTCCTACAGGGTGTCAAAAAAATAGATTTTTGACACCCTTTATATAAATAATCGAAACTCTAATGGCAATTTATATGTACGTATGTATGTATGTATGTATGTATGTATGTAAGTAATGTAAAATCTACAAATAATATTAAATATTAATAAAGTTATTCAATTTTACTCTAAAGTCTAAAGTAGCAATCAAATTAGCCAAGGTGGGATTATAAATTATTCACTTTGTGCAGTCCGTCTGAACCCAAAAGAAAATAAAATTCAGGTGAATATTAACAGTAGTCACCAAATATGCTTGAGCCGCATTTCACTAATTTGAGTTTAAAAATAGTTCAATGTTTCTATGTTATCAAAATTGTTGTAACAATCTTGATATGAAACCTTATTACTTCGAGTTTTGCTACAAGTTTATATTCAAAACATTGTCATATTAGTACGGAATTTTTTGTTCAAATATTATTTACCTACTACAATAAAAAATAAATCACAGGGCATTAAAATGTCCTGAGTGCCTTGAGTAATTGTTTAAATAAATATTATGTCAAAGAAAAAATCTGCGATATAATCTTATCTCACTTTAGTAGACAGGGTATTCTTATGTATTATAACTTTTCATGTATCTAGGTACCATATCGCATTTATATTTCAATATATTATAACAAATAATTTTCAGTATTTGTCCAATACATAGTAAAAATCATAAACAAAAACATTTACATTTTGGCCGGGATATATGGACTCATTTTTGCTGTAACTGTATTTTTATTAATATTATTATGACATCATTAATTATTTAAAATTTATTATAACATAATATAATATTAAAATTAAAATGAATTATAATAAAATATATTTCGCTACATTAAATTGGAAGACAGGCGAAAATAAATTAATAATTTTTAGAATTTAAATTCAATAAAGCTTTCATAGAGCTTCTAATCTATAGGCAACTAAATATACAATCCGTGCCGCATTGCCGAGTTTTATTATTTTTCAGATAATTACGACTACCTGCATAATAATTTGAATAAACATCTTAATATATTGCAAATCTGAATAAATAATATACCTTAATATGATTTAGACATTTATTAATTTAATTTCGATGTTTGAAAATTTAAAACAAGCTTCATAAACAAAAATGATATTAAATATTTTGGTTGTTACTGGCAACACAGCACCTATCAAGCTGTTACAGAGAATTTGTCGTGTTTTGACAGATGACAGATAACAAATCCATGGAGGAATATCGATAAAGTTTTTGTTTATTTACCGATTTTAATAGTGAATATTGTTAAGAAGCCATGTGAATTTTGTGAAAAAGTTTAAAGTTCTTAAGGTAATAGTTTCAACTGTTATTAATTGTTTCATTATAAATAAGCAACTGCTATAAAATAAGGTTAAAATCGAAGATGTAATCACAGTGTATCTAGAATCGCCTAGTTTAGCCTTTTTTCTCTTGTTTTTCGTGAAAATCGGTCACAGATGATGTGTTTTCTCGCTACTAGAGTTGATTTATTTAACTGTAATCAGTTAAGTTAAAACTAAGATGATCGTCTAATTCAGGTATTTATTTAAATTCGTATTTTACCTTATGAACATATAAGTTTTTGTTAAACCCTTTACAGTAAGTAATCATTAGCATTATTTAACTGGAATAGATTAGATATTATAGAAATATATTAATAATATTTCCTCGGATTTTCTGTAACATATTTTAATATATTTCTTCTGCATTTTCTCCAAATAGTAGCCTTGTGTAGCTTGTTCAGGATCAAGACATTTTCTGCAATTATTTAGAGCAGACATTTAGATATTTATATTAAAATATCCACCAATTTAAGATTTTTAATATTGTGGCCAATATTTTATATATATTTATCAATATTTGGTTTTAATATATAGGTTGTTCCTATGTACTTAATCATGTATTAATGTTACATACCTACTTTTGGACGTCATCAGAAAAACATCTGATTTAAAGAATGCCAAGCAGCATTGATTTTTCTGATTATTTTCTAATTCATCTTTAATATAACACAGGGTGTATGAAAATATTTATAAAATGCTATTAACAATTTTTTATAGTTGTTAAATGGGTCTTTTTTCCCTGAATGTGTTAATATTCTTAGAATATACCACAAACTAACTTAAACAGATGCGACACCTTATGGGAAATTTTGTGTTCAAAAAGACCTATGTTCGGAAGTGCGACGACAGGGCGGCGATACCGTCGATGAAGGCAAAATATTCGGCCAAACAAACAGCTGTGGTGACTTCAAATCGTTCCCGCACTCCCCCCTTCCCTAAGCTTCCATTTCTTTCGTTCTTTCTCGCATTTAACCTTGCCTTTGATACACCGCGCCGTCTCGTCTTGCCGTCGCAGCCGCCGCACGATTATAAAGTCAAAGCGAGATTGCCAGCTTGAACTTTTTTTATGTGAGAATTAAATGTTATATGTACTTGTATTAGCGCTTTCTCCTGGATAATAATAAATAACTATTACATGATGTTAGGAAATATCAGCTAATATTTATTTGTAAAGTATGAGAAATTTACAAATTTTAACAATCGGTTAAGATCAATACATATGTATAAAGAAAATGACGATTTCTTTAAAATTAAAAATTATATAAAATATCAGAAATATACAATTCTTAAAGAATAGGATCTTTGTTGTCAGCTTGCCGTTTGTATTTAGCTGTACTTCCAGCTGTTAATTTCAAATATTAATCTAAAGTCTATCTACTATTAGCCAGCTTAAATTATCTTTAATTATTTTTATATCCTGCTTGTTAATAGTTTTATGCACTACTATAATTTTATTTGATATTTTAAATTGATTTAAAATTTAGCAGCTGATCTTTTATATAGCAAATAGGTACTTTTATGATACAGACACGGCATATTGTTTGCATGTGCCGTGATACCGATATAGTTTATACAAATTGGTAAGTAGAATTGGCAACAGTGTCCTAGAAAAAGGATATGGGAATCTAAGATGGGAATATTGAAGGTTTTCAGAGGATTTTTAAGTCAGTTTCTTCAGTTGTTTCACATGGATATTACATACATCATTATTATTAGCTGTTTCCGATTTTAATTTTCTGTTGGGTTTTGTTGGTTTACATTTAGTTAGTTCACGGTGTTCTTAGTATTGTTTTAGTTAATTCAGCTATTCAGTTTAAGTTTCTTGTTTTGATTTTATTTAAAATGCTTTTAAAAAAGTGTGCTTTCAATGGATGAGAAAACATTTCACTATAAACTGAAGAAGATACATTTTTTAGATTTTCTAGGACTAAATTATATCAAAAACTGTGGGTGTTTTTTCCGAAAATACCTAGATTTTCTAATACGAAAAAAGTGAATTTAAATACACATACAGTTCGATCAAATAATCGACTTATTAACTACATATACTTTGTAAAAATATTATACTTCTATGCCAGGTAGTAATAAATTTTCATGCCAACTTTCACCCCTATCATCCCCGAGATGATGAATTTTCAAAAATCGTTTCTTCTACTCTATACTATTGCTTCCCAATTATACTTAAGCATATTTGGCCAAATTTTAATTCATAAATATTATGTACTTTTAAACCACATAGTAGTAACGAATTTTCATAAAATTTTGCCCTTAATTTTACCCCTTTAGGAAATGAGTTTCTAGAAAACGCTTCGTAAGTATGCCACACCGAAATATCATACTTCTATACCAAATATTAACGAACATTTACAATCATTTTTTCCCTTATTTTAAGGGACGGATTTTTTATTGAATCCCTAGAGAAACCTTTATTGTGTAATGTTTTGAATGAACAGGTTTTTATTTTATGTTTTGCTTTATAATTGTTCAGCCCTAATTTTACCCTCCTCGGGGATGAATTTTCATAGTCGCCGCTCATATAGTCATTGCGTTACTTAAGAAACCTTTGAAATTATTAATAACAAAATTATTGTATATTCTTCGGACGAGATTTTTACAAATTTTTATATAAATTTCCACCACTAATTTCACCTCTTTAGGGGATGAATTTACCTTTGTCAAAATATTAAACTCCCACAAACAATTTTTACGGAATGTTTGTACCGACTTTTTCCCTTTTTGGGAGATGAAATTTAGGGATAATTATAATAATTATAGTTCGTTCCAATGGAGCTGAGAGCACAGAGCGCCTATAATAAACGGAAAACGGAGGTCGGGTGTCAACAAATTTTTATCTCTTATATTGCAAATGTATTTATATTGCAAATGTATTTAGACTAAGAAGAAAGAAATTGTGACCCAGACCACCCTGTAATCGGAAGTATATGTATAGGAAGTGACTCCGCTGCCGGCGCCGGCTTCCACAATTCGGGAGCATAGATGCCTGCTCCGAAAATAAAAATGTTAACGTCAGAGACTAACCAACGCTAAACAAATGTAAATTAATAAAAACCAATCCAACCCCACCAAATAGCTAACCTATCCAATGCAATCAACACCAAATAACCAACTTAACCAACGCAACTAACTCCACCAAATAATCAATCTAACCTCACCAAAAAGAGTGAAACCAACGCAATCCGTATTTTGATTGCTATTAAATATTTACAGCTTTTTTAAAAATAAAAACAGCAGTAAAAAAATAAAAGAATTCTAGTTTGGCGTAAGATTTGAACCACGGACCTCTCGTTCACGAAGTGATGACCTCAGTCTCAGTAACGGAGCCACAGCTGCTCTTGCAAAATTGGATATAGCTAGGCGTTACTTTCCGCCGTTCTTTCAGCCGTCAATGGAACCGGAGCCGGCAACCATTAAGGGAACCGGCGCCGGCAGCGAAGTCACTTTCTAATAATTATATAGTTAGAAATTATATAATATAAAATAAGAAATACATAAAAATACCTAATAGTAAAGAACCTTTTTTAAAATGTATTAATATCTTTTAGTTATTATTAATTACTAGCGTGTACCCGCGACTTCGTTTGCGTCGAATTAATCATTTGTAATGGTGATGATAAAGCAAAGCAAGAATTTCCATTAACATACAAACTGGATAAAATGTTCTCACATTTATGTCCTGAGCCCCAGAAAAAAACAATATGGCGATATTATTATATAACTTGGTAATATTTGACAGGTAGTTTCATCTCGTTGGAATTTGACTTTCGAAAAATCTGTTTGCCAAAAATAATTTTTTTACGTCAAGCAGTTTAAGCAGAATCGTAGTTAATCAATTACCCAACTTTTTGGAACACCCTGTATGATTTTTTAAAAAAAATCAAAATATGTAAAAAACAAAATAAATTATGCGTGTCCAAGCGTTTTCTCGAAAGACTAACCGTTTTTTAAATATCAAATATTGTAATATTTGAGGGGCATTTTCACCCTCTTGGAATCGAGAAACCCCTCCTTATCGAATCTCTGTACCCTACAGTAAATCCGTTTACCAAAAATCAGCTTTAAACGTCAAGCAGTTTAAGCAGAATCGTGATTACTCAATGGTCATATCTTATGAAACACCTTGTATAAATTTTTAAAAAATCTTAAAATATGTAAAATAACAAAACAAAATATACGTTTTTAAGAGTTTTTCCGAAAAACTCATCGGTTTTTAAATAAAAAATATTCTAATATTTGAGGGGTGGTTTCACCCCCTTAGAATTCGAGTTTCGAAAAATCCCTTCTTATCGAACCTCTACACCCTAAAGTCAATCCGTTTTCCAAAAATCAGCTTTTTAGATCAAGCGCTTTAAGCAGGATCGTGATTAATCAATGACCAGATTTTTCGAATCACTCTGTATACATTTTTAAAAAATCTTAAATTATGTAAAAAAAACAAAATAAAATATACGTGTTTAAGCGTTTTTTCGGAAACTTGACCGTTTTTTAAATAAAAAATATTGTAATATTTGAGGGATGGTTTCACCCCTTTGGAACTGGAATTTCGAAAAATGTCTTCTTATCGAACCTCTACACCCTAGAATCAACCTGTATGCCAAAATTGAGCTTCTTACGTTGAGTGGTTAAGAATTTTATATATATTAGTAGGTATAGATTGTGAATGTATCAAAAATTGAAAAAAAACTAATGAAATTAAAATCATCTCTATTTGATTCCGAACTACAAAATTCCCTCTCTATTTTCTACACAAAGGAGGCGTGGCTCCTTAGTAAACGAATGGAGGTTACTTTGCTGGTCCGCTGTAAAATTCGCCTATATGACAAATCTAACGGAAAAATTTGCCTGGCGCATTCGCCAAAATGTAATTTTCACATTTGCATTGTTTGTCGCATCTGTTTAGGTTAGTCTGTGAATATACCTAATAATATAATATTAGATAGGGTACCCCATAGTACTAGGTAAAATAGTAAGTGAATGTACTTTACTATATTTTAAGTGTTATTATATTTTTGTTTATGTTTGATTGTTAGTTTTTTTTAATTTCATTGAGAATTTAACTAAGAATTCTTTAAGCAGGTGAATTTTGTGTAAAAATTTGGTACCAAAATGGCTCAAAGTACCAGTGGAGGTACGTCTTCAAGAAAACACCCCAGAGAACATGATACTGCTTCTGTGGTGTCTTCCAGGATTGGTGATGTCACAGAATGGGAAGCAAATGAGGTACATTTTAATATTTTTGTATATTTATATCAATTAATATTATAAATTTGCTTTAGGAATAGATACATATGATATAGATAGTTTAATTATGATGTTTCTGGTTTTGGACTACAATTTCTCAAATTATTGTTTTGGTATATTTTTTCATAGAATTTTTGCAGTTACTGTTAATTAAATCACAGCTCTATTACTACCAGCTGGTCATCTTAGCTTTTAGCTTGTTTACGCGTCAATCTGCTACGCTAGATGTGGGACCACATTGGTTTAATTTAATGCACTTTGCGGTAGTTATTTATTAGTTTATTAGAATTTTTTTTACTAAAAAGGTATTTTTACTTATATAAGAAATATTACATTTTTACTTAAAAAACCATAATAATATTTGAAATCAACAATTATTATAAATTCTTCATTTGATATAAATCTTTATTTAGGTTAGTCAGTGCTAGTTGGTAAAAGATTCTGGCAATTTTTTTTAACCCTAATCTTTTATTTATATGTTCCTTATTAACTTCAGTAATTTTATGGAAATAGATTAAAGTACTATAGCCACCAACTAAGAAGTATAATAAAATATACAGTACCTATGTTCCCAGATTGTCTTTGTAAGAAAAAAAAAATCTGTATTATTAACTTTTTGGGAAAAGTTCATTCTTTCTACATGTTTTTACTGGTTCTAAATGGTTAATCCCGTTTATACTTTTCCAAATTTCCATACCGTTTTAGAGAAAAATGAAAAAAATACGAAATATAAGTAGTTGATTTATATATATATATTTCCTATACTATCTTTACTATATTAAAAATAACCATCTATTAATTAATAATAACCATCTATCAAACAACGAAAACGAAACGATATTACCGTAAAAACGCATTTTGATTTTTGAGGAAATTCAAAACAAAAAATCAATTTTTAGCCGACCATACCAATAGGTATGGTAGGCTATTAAGATCGGCAAGAAAAAAGTTTTTTTAATTTCACTCAAAATGAGTTATTTTGGTCATAAATGACCTAAATACAAAATATTTTCATGGTGTCTGTCTGTCTGTCTGTCTGCCCGTCTGTAACACGATAACTCAAAAACCGCTAAACCGATTTTAACCAAATTTGGCACAAAAATACTGTGGCACCCGAGAATCTGGCCATTAGTTTTTGGTGGGGGTGAGGGTTTGGTGAGGGGGTATGGGAGGGGGTTAAAAATTTAAAAAAATCGTAACTTCAAAATTACAGTAGCTAGGGAAACGCGGTTTTCAATGTAAGATTAGGAATAATATTTGCAAGAAAATTTGTAACAACATCAAAATCAGTCAAAGTAGCAGTTTTTGAGATAAAAAAAAATTGAAAAAATTCTTTTACTTTGAAACTAAAAGAAGTGCCTTCCAACTTTTTATTAACATATTTTAGTATGGGCGGCTCTACGTGCCTCCCGGCGCCTATTTTTTTCTCTAAAACGGTATGGAAATTTGGAAAAGTATAAACGGGATTAATCATTTTAGAACAAGCAAAATCTTTTATGACGAATGTATTTGTCTCAAAAAGTAATTAATAAAAAAAGTTCCTCTTGTAAAGTCAGTCCGAGGACATACTGTATATGAAGTTTGCTGAATTATAGCTCCAGCCAAAATAAATTAAATCATAGGGTCTATTTAGAGTAATATGAAGATAAACCTAAAATATTTGAAACTTTAAATTGAAAGACAAATTAAAAATAAGATGTTTAGAACCAGTAGGTAGGTGTTAATGGGTATTTTTGTGTACCTACACATAATTTTCGCAATGGTGTTATTTGTCCTATTTTATAATGTACCCAGTAGTGAAGAATTGTTCTTATATTCTCATATCTTTAAGTTACATTCATGAATACTTTATATTGTTCAGTATTTGTAATCTGTGTTTTTACGAAAACCATTCGTGTATGAAAGCGCAATAGGAAGTTTACTTCCCTTGAAAATGTTTTTAGAATAATTATTTTTAGCATTAAACATAACAAGGTGTGCATGGGTTTTAAACAAACTTAGATTTTTTGCAATTGCATCTTATAAATACATATAAAATCTACTTTAAGTTAATTTGATATTTTGGGAATATATACATATTTATTTTTGCTCAAAATAACGTAAGTTTTTAGAAGTAGTACATAGTACATATACATAAAAGTTATAATATAACTGTAGTCGTGAAGATTTTAATTTCCTTGCTTATTATAACAGTACTTAAAAGTTTACATTTGAAATGTTTTCTTAGAATCGGTTTTATATTTATAAATACAGTTAAATGCTACAGAATTGATTCGTATTTGATTATTTTTATTCTCAGGATTATCCCAGTATTTCTGCAGATGGCATATTTAAAGAGTCACTTATATTTGTTTAATTTGTTGAGTAGGTACTTAAAATAGTACTACTATTTTAAGGAATAATAGTTGTATTTTGTAAAACTTTTCTTTATATATAATTTGTTCTATAATATATAGAGATATTTAAATTTCTCTCTAAACGATTTAATGTATTTACTAACAAGAAGTAGTACACCAGAGAGTGAGGGGGGGGGGGAAGATTCGGCTCATTATATAGGTTGAGGTAATATAAAATATATGTATGGAAAGTAGATTGAATAACATAATAATTGAATGACATCCGCCATAGAACACATGTATCTAGGTACTGCCTAAGTATTTTTTTGCGCTAAAGCGTTAACTGATGTTTAGTGTCAAAAGCTATAAATCTTCCGTGGTGTATACTGTAGGTTTTTTTTAGTAATGTTTTTGGACTATTATCCCAGTTTTTACTATTATAATATACCGGGTGCGTCTCAAAAGTGGCTCATCCCTATAATTTTTTTTTCAGATAAAACAATGAGATTTGGTATGTTAGTTTATCGACGGTTGAAAGGAGAAATGGCTAATACGCCACTTTTGTGGAAATTGAGTTATTTATACCTTCGAAATCAGCGAATTTTTCTGCGTCGATCTACTTAGCTTTCATCCTAATAATCCTATGGTTTAGCGCATTAAACATTTTAAATTTTGAATAAATTACAAGAAATATAATGTCTTAAAGGACAGAGTTTCAAAATAAAACAGACAAACAGGTCTTCTGTAAAGTTACGAAAGTGGCGTATTAGCAGTTTCTCCTTTCAACCGTCGATATGATTATGAAATTTAGGCCAGTGCAAATAATTTTGAATTTGCAAAAATTTTTAGAAAGCTGCGACCATTGAACATGAGGTTAGCCTTAGTAACCCTTATTAACATACTAAAAGTCCCCATTTGTCAGATGTGTGCGTTATCAAAAAAAATCGGCCGCCATCTTGAATTTTGGTACTTTTTGGGAAAAAATGTAAATAACTCGAAAACGGTGCGTTATAACGAAAAACTTCAAGAGGTAAAAATTAAAGAGAATAAAAAACTCTATCAGATATCTCTATCATCTATCTAGAAAACTCTCAGATCAATAAAGAATGGTTTATTATCCTAACGCAGTGACGCACAAATTTTTTTTGAAAATCGAGCAATTTTTAAAAGGAATCACCGAAATGCAAATTACTATTTTTTAAGCTTATTAACAAATAACATGGATATTCAGCATCAATTCAACTAAAATACAGTCCTTGTGACATTTTCAAGAAATATTTATTGGTGGTTTAATAACATATCAAAATTAACAAAAATTGTCAAAGCTATCCTTTACTAAATGCATGTGTACTAATAATGTGCGAAAGCAGCCTCCACCTTGTTCCGGTCGGGGCTATTTGCACTTAAACCAAGGTCTTTTTGTTACCATTTTGTAAACAACTTGTTTTTAAAAATACAGTGACAGTTTGAAAGTGACAGATTGGAAGAAAAAAATAAAATGTAATAAACTACTTGCGAATGTCTTTTTGGCGTAAATATCATCTACGATCTTAACCTAAGATCTTAACACTTTTTCATTATGAAAAATACATTATAAACATACCCCTACAAATCGAATAACAATAATTCAAATTATGACCATTTTAATAAAAATGTGTTACCAACTTGTAACCTAACTTTGCAAACTGTCATCTCTAGAAAAAAAATGAAATTTACAATTTTATTCGATTTGTTCTTCATCGACCGATATTTGTTTGTTCTCGCAAGAATTACCATTACAGTTACCACACAAGCATGAACATGACATATTGGATTTTAGACATGTACCATTGCGATTAAAAAAAAATAGTACAACAAAATATGATTTAATCTGCTGGTCTATATTCTTGTGTCAGTGTTACGTAATTTTTAAAAAATGCCTTTAACTTCAGAGCAAATATCAATTATATTTACGCGATTAAGGGATGGGGTTCTCATAAGGGACATTGCAGATGCATTAGGGATAAACAAAAAAACAGTGTTGTTGGCTAAATCCAAAAAAAAATTCAATAAATTTAAATATCCTTATAGACCAGGAGTTCCATCTGGGACTACTAATTCTTGTACTACTTTTTTTTATCGCAATGGTACATAGTTTATTATATCCAGATTTGCAATTACAGTAAATCATTTTCAATACAAATTCTGGTGCCACTGCGTTTGACATTGTTTTTAAAGGTATCCGTTTTATTACTCCATCCACATTCTGTTGCCTCTTCTCCGTTATTTAGCCAATACTGCATTTATAAATAGGTCCTATAATTTTCAGCTGCGTTAGTTGTTGGAGGTAAGATAGCTAAATCAAAATTTTTACTATAAGTACCTGACGAGATGTAAGGGCTTTATATTTAAAATACCTCAACTGATCTAAATCTTTTGCTAGCCTATGTCGACCATATAATGAAAATAAGAAAAAATACTTTTCCAGCTTCGACTAGCTCAGATTTTTGTGCTGCAGGATCTAAAAAAAACGGATGTAATTTGTCGCAGATGAGGATCTTTTTGCAACGTTTTGAAAGTCGCCAGTTTACATTACATTTTATTTTTTTCTTCCAACCTGTAGCCTAATTTTTCAAACTGTCACTGTATTTTTAAAAACAAGTTGTTTACAAAATGGTAACAATAAGACCTTGGTTTAAGTGCAAATAGCCCCGACAGGGACAAGGTGGAGACTGCTTTCGCACATTATTATTACACATGTATTTAGTAAAGGATAGCTTTGACAATTTTTGTTAATTTTGAAATATTATTAACCCACGAATGAAAAATATTTCTTGAAAATGTCACAAGGATTGTATTTCAGTTGAATTGATGCTAAATATTCATGTTATTTGTTAATAAGCTTAAAAAATTAGTAATTTGCATTTCGGTGATTCCTTTTAAAAATTGATCGATTTTCAAAATTTTTTTGTACGTCATTGAGTTAGGATAATAAACTATTTTTTATTGATTCTAATAGAGTTTTTTATTCTCTTTAATTTTTACCTCTGGAAGTTTTTCGCTATAACAAACCGTTTACGAGTTATTTACATTTTTTTCCAAAAAGTACCAAAATTCAAGATGGCGGCCGATTTTTTTTGATGACGCACACATCGGACAAATGGGGACTTTTAGTATGTTAATAAGGGTTACTAAGGCTAACTATTTTCAATGGTCGCAGCTTTCTAAAAATGTTTGCAATTTCAACATGGTGAATGTCATAACTGCACTGGGGTAAATTAGGATTCATTGACATATTCAATTGTTTTCGGTCACTTCCGGCTTCACCGGAAACGACTAGAACTTTTGATTTTTAAATGGCACCCTCGGTATTTTTTTACTTTATTCGATAAAAATGACACTCTGAATAGAATGACATATAATATGTCAACTTTTGACATTTTCTATCGAGTAAAGTAAAAAAATTCCCAGGGTGCCATTTAAAAATCAAAAGTTATTGTCATTTCCGGTGAAACAGGAAGTGATCGAAAACAATTGAATACGTCAATCAATCCTAATTTATGTCATATACTAACATACCAAATCTCGTTTTTTTATCTGAAAAAATAAAAAAGTTATAGGGGTGAGCCACTTTTGAGACGCACCCTGTATACCAGAAAATGTTTTTTTTTTTTTGTATAATACGCGGACAGTCGTCTTCAATCCCCTATGTCTATCAATCCCATTATACAAGTATTTTCATAGATAAGAGCTATTATTCATTGTTTTTGCACTATAGTGTGCAATTCTATAAATGGAATGATGTACAGGGTGGGTCAAATTCGACGCTTTTAAATGGAAACACCCTTTTCTATAGGAGATAGACAAAAACTAATATCGGTGTCTGGAGCTCAATTTTTGTCAAAAACATGATGGTGAAAACCGCACATCAATATCTGTTATCGTTTCGGAGTTACGGGGTGTTTTTCAAAAATATGCATTTTTAACAAATCGCTGTAACTTTTTTGCTATGGAAAATTTTGTATTTTTATGCAAACATTTCCAAAGCACCTTTTTACGTAGAATTTAATGGTTTAAGTATAATTTTTTTAAAATTAATAATTTAAGAATTATCAACAGAAAATTTGATTTTTTATGGGACACCCTATATATCTTTAATTAGCTGAAAAGAATTTAAAATTACCTCTCCAATAATATAGCATACTTGATATTTTGTTATAATGCCCTTCGAAATACAGATTTTTCAAAAGTTCGCCACTTTTAACTAGTAGGCTTTGGACCCCTCATTGATGATATGCCCTTAAAGGAACTCGAAAACATATTTTTCCAGCAAGACGACGCACCGCTTCTGAACGCTAAAGTTATCAGCAAATTTCTGCAGCCAATTTCAAGAATAATTGAATAGCTGACCAAGAACCCAGCCGTTGGCCGTCGAGGCCGCCTAACTTAGTGCCCATGGATCTAATCCTATGGATATATTTGCGGAAGAATAAAGGTTCCTTATTCTTCTGTATAATCTAGACAAGAATTAGAAATACTTAGCAGTTATGAGAGGGTATCTTTCACCCACACTGAGTTAATGAATTCCGCGAGAAATGTTCAAAAACTGCCCTGTCTGTCCATAACAGAAGACGGTCGATATGTCGAACACCTGTAGCAAAATCTCATGACCTGGTTTGCTATTTATTTTTATTGTTATGAGATATAGTTTAAATGTGTTGATGTTGGTTAAATATATTTTAAATTGTTATAAAATTCTGCATCTTTCATAGCAAATATTATTTTTGTTTTAATTGACGCTCACAGCTAGAATTTTTTTGCATTACAGTCGGTGCCGTTCAAAGCCTACTTATTTAAAGCGGGCGAATTTTTATATACTCTATATCTCGAAGAGGAATCGAGCAAAATATCAAGTGTGTTATATTTTTGAAAGGTAATTTTAAATTCTTTAAATTTTAATAAATTATAAATATACAGGGTGTCCCATATAAAAAATCAATTTTTCTGTTGATAACTCTTAAATTATTAATTTTAAAAAAATTATACTAAAACAATTAAATTCTACGTAAAAAGGTGCTTCGGAAATGTTTTCATAGAAATACAAAATTTTTCATAGCAAAAAAGTTACAGCGATTTGTTAAAAATGCATATTTTTGAAAAACACCCCGTAACTCCGAAACGGTAACAGATATTGATTTGCGGTTTTCACCATCATCTTTTTGATGAAAATTGAGCTCCAGACACCGATATTAGTTTTCGTCTATCTCCTATAGAAAAAGGTGTTTCCATTTAAAAGCGTCGAATTTGACCCACCCTGTACATATATTTTTTGCTGACTAAATCTAAACTTTTCATAATTCATAAAATTCTTATTCCAAAATATAACCAAAACAATATCTATATCTAGTCCAAGAAAATAGGCCTTTAAATACGAAGTTTTGGTAAAAACTTGAATTTTTTATTTTGAAAGATCTAAAAACGAATTGTGAAATATTTTTTTAAATTAACCCCCGAGAAGAGGTGAAGTAAATAAATAAAATTATTTTTTCGAAATTTCGAAGAAACGGTAAGGAGAGTAGAAAAAAAGAGTTGTAGAGCGTCCAATTTTACATAAAAATGGTATCTATATTTTTTTTACTCAGATCAAAATTAATCGAGATAGGATGGCTAGAGGCTAGGGGACAGCTTTTATTGAAACATTTGTTTCAAAGTCATTACCGTTTCTCTGAACCATTCTTACCGGGGTGAATTTAAATAAATCTTGAAATTTATAATTTTCCAAACAAATTGAATAAAAATGTTAAATATATATGAATTTTTCAGCAACCTATAATTTTTTTTTAATTTCTTCTATCATCCGCTAGATTCTAGCCACCCTATCTCGGTTAATTTTGATCTGAGCAAAAAAGTATAGAGATCATTTCTAAAAACAACAGGTTTAGTCGTGACTGACGAAGTTAAGAAAAAAACTCAAAATTTAAGTGAGGATGCAGTCAATAATCACCACACAGGCTAATAAAAGTACTTTTTCAAATTTGTCAAGCTTTCGAGAATTTTATTCCCATCATCAGGACAGTTTGACTCAGTCAGTTAGCAAAAACAACATCATCTGCACAAAAAGGAGTTTAAGTCACTGTTCGATGAAGCGCGAAACAACAATGTAGACATTAGTCTTTTTAAAAATATGTTTTGTTTTAAAAAGTAATGTCGTTGGATATTTATTTTAATATTTTATAAAGGAAATTTCCTTGTATTCCAATGTCATATTATGATGCTAATTGTAAGGCCTTTTTGTACAGAGGATGTTCTTTTTGAATAGGCGATTGTCATTTAATGTAAAATGTTTATCGGCAATAAAAAATTGAGAATTAAAGACGTTTTAACTAATTTTATGAGTTTTATTTTTTATTTGGTTAGGTTGCAGTTGTTAATTATTATATGCGATTAAAATGATAGACACGACTACCACTGTTAGTGATCCTCCCGTTAGACAGACTATATGTTTCCATAAATATAGTTTTTTTTTAAGTTCAATAATAATTAATTTTCAGGCCTTACGCCAACGAGAGCTCGAAGAAGCCAAAGGCCGGGCAGCCCAAATGGAGAAAACCATGAGATGGTGGTCAGATTGCACCGCCAACTGGAGAGAGAAATGGTCCAAAGTCAGAAACGAACGCAACAAGGCCCGAGAAGAATCCAAACAACTTCGAACAAAACTCGAAGCCTCCTTAAAAGAATCCTCCTCATACAAACGCGAAAAAGACGACTTACTCGCCCAAAACGACCAACTGAAGAAGGAAATCGAGAAAATCCACTTGCTCCTTCTCAAACACGCTGGCCAATTTGACAGTCAGATTTTCGAGGCCTTGGGAGACGATCCTTTGAAAGACTTCTCCTTCAGTAACGGGTCTCCATTGAAAGACAGCTCGCTAAGAGGTGCTGCGTCGCCTTTGAGAGATCTTTTGCGTGATCACGAACGGGAAAATGGTGTGTCTTCGTCGCAGAGCAATCCGGAGTGTGATAGCACGTCTCCGGTGAATTTGGATGGGAAAGATAAGGACGGTGATGAGTTGAGACTGTCTAAGTCCAGTCCTGAGCATGAGGCTGCGGTGGATGACGATTACGTTAGTCAGAAGGTGTCTATGCTGCAATTGCGGCTTGAAGAGGCGACGAAGACTATTGGAATTGAGAGGGAGTATGTGTTTAATTGCTTATTATTTAAGTGTCTTCAAATTTAAACAGTTAAAAAAAGTAAAATACTGGGTATTTTTCAATAATGGCTCATCCCTATAACTAAGATTTGTTATGTTAGTATATGACAAAACGATTAATTTGCGTTTATTAGTTTCAATTATTATTATTATTAGTTTCAATAATTATATACCGAGTGCGTCTCAAAAGTGGCCCACCCCTATAAGTTTTATTTTTTCGCATAACAAACGAGATTTGGTATGTTAGTATATGGCATAAATTAGGATTGATTGACGTATTCAATTGTTTTCGGTCACTTCTTGTTTCACCGGAAATGAATACAACTTTTGATTTTTAAATGGCACCCTCGGTATTTTTTTACTTTATTTGATAGAAAATGACCTTCTGAATAGAATGACAACATGTCAACTTTTAACATTTTGGCATATGGTTTATTTGAAATTGTAACATGCGGTTCATAACGACAATTTGACTCGAAATGCCAAGTGTGTGGTATCAAATTATTCGTAAAAAATTGTTTTTTTTCAAATATGCTAATGCGTCACCTTCGTCTCGTTTTAAAAAATTGAGATATAATTAAAAATACGATTTGGGCATCTTTTAACCGGCCAGGACAAGATACTAAAAACATTAGACGATCAAATCTATTTTCCGAAGCTCCTTGATTAAAAATTAATGTTTTTAGTACAGCCAGCATCGGCACTTTGAAATTTAAAATACGATGTTTTTTAAGCGAATATGTCAAATGTTGATATATGATATGTAGTTCCATTCAGAGGTTAATTTTTGTATCAAATAAAGTAAAAAAATACCGAAAGTGTCAATTAAAAATCAAAAGTTATAGTCATATCCGGTGAAATTGGAAGTGACCAAAAACAATTGAATACGTCAATCAATCCTAATTTATGTCACACTCGTATACTAACATACCAAATGTCGTTTTTTTTAGCTGAAAAAAATAAAAAAGCTATAGGAGTGAGTCACTTTTGAGATGCACCCGGTATAACTAATTATTTCCGGCCATTTTCTGTTTCGCCGCAAATGACTATAACTTTTGATTTTTAAATGATACTCTCGAAATATTTTTTACTTCATTTGTTAGAAAATTACATTCTGAATAGATCATATCATATGTCAACTTTTGACATTTTCCATTAAAAAATAGTATTTTAAACTTTAATCTAAAGTGCCATGACGATGTTAAAACTACTATTTTTTTTAATCAAGGAGTCTTGGAAAAAATATATTTGATCGTCTAATATTTTTCGTGTCTTCGTGGACAGTTAAAAGATGACCAAATCGTATTTTTAATCATAACCAAATTTTTCTAATGGAACGAAGATAGCTCATTGGCATATTTGGAAAAAGCATTTTTTTACTAATAATTTGGTACCGCATACTTAGTATTTTGAGTCAAATTGTATTTGTATTTATTGTCGTCTCGCACTTTTTTAAGAGAAACTTTCAAAAGTTGACATGTAATATGTCATTCTATTCAGAATATCATTTAATATCAAATAAAGTAAAAAAATACCTAAGGTACGATTTAAAAATGCAAAGTGCAACAGGAAGTGAAAATTGCCGGTGCAACAGGAAGTGACCAAAAGTAATTGAATACGTCGATCAATCCTGATTCATGTTCTTTACCAACATACCAAATCTCGTTTTTTTATCCGAAAAAATAAAAAAGTTACAGGAGTAACTAAAAACTTAAAGTACACCCAGTACATACGCCATAATATTATTAATATAATTTCATAGATAATAGAGCAATAGTATTCCGTAATAAAAATGTATGTACATTCACAAAATGTGGTCATTCATCTAATTGATGAGTTTTCTTTTATAGAGAGAAATCTTCTTTGCACAGAACCATTGAGCGATTCACCAATGAATTGCAAGAAGCTAAAGATAAATGTGATGAGTTAAGAGAAGCTAAACAAGAAGCAATGCGCGAGTTACTATCTTTACAAGACGAACATGAAAAAGAAATCCAGATTATCAAATCTGATTTGATGGATGAGGCGAGTAGTCGGGAAGGAATGGACAAGAAATTGAACGATTTGCGTGGAGAGGTCAGTATACATATATGTTTTGAATGTCATTTATTTCTGTATATACAGTGGTGGCCAAAAGTATGGAAACTTTTTTAATTTGTCATTTATGCTGAGAAATTAAAATATGAAATAAAACGTCTTATATAATCGTGACCTACAAATAATTTCCTACAAAACCTAATACATTTAAATAAAAAATTACAGCTATCAAAAAATATATAAAAAATTATGAATATTTTCTTGGTCAAAAGTATGGAAACTTAAGAAGAATGTTTATTAAAATTCAAGATAATATAAAAATTACTAATATTTAGTGGAATATCCCTTTGAATTAATTACTTCTCTACATCTTCGTGGCATCGAATCGATCAATCTCGTACAATCTTTACTGGAAATGGCCGCCCATTCAGTTTTTAGCGCTTCCCATAATTCATTTTTATTTGAAATAGAATGGCTTCGAATTTTGCTATCCAAATGATCCCATAAATTTTCTATGGGGTTAAGATCCGGAGACTGTGAGGGCCAATCCATTAGTGGAAAATTATGTTCATTTAACCAATTTTGAACAAACCGAGAGTTGTGCTTGGGATCATTGTCTTGCTGGAACAACCATCTGAGTGGCATTTCTTCATCAGCATGAGGCAGCATATTATTCTCCAATATGTCTTTGTACAAAAAACGGTCCATTATCCCATCAATTTTAACAAGAGGACCAACACCTGAGCGAGAAAAACACCCCCATATGATTATACTCCCACCCTCATGTTTTACTGTGGGCATCTGGTACTTATGGCTGTACCGTGTACCTTTTGGTCTTTGGACATAACGTCTCCCGTCACTACCAAACAGTTGAAACTTGCTTTCGTCGCTAAACAGTACAGTATTCTATTTCTGATAAGACCAGGTGAGATGATCTTGAGCAAATTTAAAGCGGGCCATCCTATTTGTCTTTGATATTAGTGGTTTCTTCACCGCAACTCTTCCAAAAAGTCCCATGTCATCCAACCTTCTTCTCACCGTGCGTGCAGACACCGATATTCCCCTTTCACCCATTTCTCGAGAAATGTCTGTGGATGTTTTTCTTGGATCTCCAATTGATATTCTCTTCATTACTTTCATTGTCCTGTTGCACAACTTTCTTGGTTTTCCTGACTTAAAAGCTGTTGAAACGTTCCCTGTTTTATTAAATTTACGAATTATTTTCGAAACGGTGCCTTTTAAAATGTTTAAATTTTTACTCATTTGAATTTGTTTATAACCGCTCTTGTATAATTCAACTATTTTATTTTTTAAATCCGTAGAGAAATATTTAGACTTGGGCATGATGTTTATATTTATCTGAAGCAAATCGTACCGTTTATCAGCTTAAACTAAATAATTTTAATGTATTTATTTATGGTTTCCATACTTTTGGCCACAAGAAATCTATTGTTCTCCTACAAAAACTGCTAAACATATTTTTTTCGCTGTGTAATTTTTGGAATACTTTTATTTGCTGATAAGCTGTTCATTTATATTCCTGAGAGTTTAAGCATAGCAATATTTTCTGTGATATTTTAAAAAGTAAAAAGTTTCCATACTTTTGGCCACCACTGTATCTTTTAACAACTTTTTTATTTTACTTTTTGTTATAATTGCTTCTAATATGTAATATTTACAATAGCATAATAACAATTTAAAGTTATTTTATTTTTTTTTTGGCTATGGTCATAAGCAATAGTAAGCTAAGGAAAATAACTACCTGAACAAGCGTTTTTTTAAACCTGTATCATGGAAGTCTTAGCTGCAGACTCTGCGATAAAAATCCTTCAGACAGTAGATCTCATGTCACTTCGGGGCTATGGATCGCAAGCGATATTTTCTCTTTGGGAAAGCAAAGTTAGAACCAGAGGAACTATGTGTCCCAGCTTATCAAGGATCTGAACAAGCTGGTGCAGGGCACTGGGATATGAAATTTGGTGTAGACTCAATACACAACAGGCATACAACACAATAGGCCTTATAGGTCGCAGTGTTTCCAGCAGGATGGCTTCTAGCATTGACAAAAAAAGGAAAATGTGACATCTTTATTTATAGATAATAGTTCAATCTTACCTGAGTTGTTTTTATGGAGAAGTATATTGTAATATATAACTGTTGTTTATGAAGCTCAAAAATACATTATTTCTACAGATGACAAAAAAATGGTGCGTCTCAAAAGTGGTTCACCCTTATAACTTTTTTATTTTTTCAGATAGAAAAACGAGATTTGGTATGTTAGTAAATGAAATAAATTAGGATTTATTGACTTATTCAATTGTGTTTGGTAACTTCCTGTTACAGTGGAAATGACTACAACTTTTGATTTTTAAATGGCACTCACGGTATATTTTTACTTTTTTCGTTAGCAGCTTTTTCGTTTTCTAATTTCTTGAAGACATTTTCCAGTGTCAGTGTAAATAACTTGGGAGAGATGGTATCTCCTTGTCTCACGCCCTTGCCGAGTAGTATTTTTTCTGTTTTGAGGTCATCATCTAATTTAATTTGGAAGGTTGCGCGGATTTTTAATTATATCTCAATTTTTTCAAATGGAATGAGGGTGGCTCATTAGCATATTTGGAAAAGCATTTTTTACGAATAATTTGATACCACACACTTGATATTTCGAGTCAAATTGTTGTTATGATCCGCATGTTAAAATTACAAATAAACCATATGCGAAAATGTCAAAAGTTGACATATAATATGTCATTCTATTCAGAGTGTCTTTTTCTATCGAATAAAAAGAAATACCGAGGTTGTCATTTAAAAATCAAAATTTGTAATTCCGGTGAAACAGGAAGTGACCAAAAACAATTGAATACGTCACTCAATCCTAATTTATGTCATATACTAACATACCAAATCTCGTTTTTTTATCTGAAAAAAAAAATAAAAAAGTTATAGGGATGAACCACTTTTGAGATGCATACTGTAAAAGAGATTTTTAATAGAGATTTGATATAAGTTTTCCTATTCTATAAATGGAGACAGAGTATCATAAGAGAACCACCAAGCTCCTTTGTTGCACTTAAAGTGTTTTTTTTAAAGAATTCTTAAACATAATAACGGAAGCATTATAAACTACATAATAACAAATGAAAAAAAAACTTTTTGAACACTGATTAAGTTGAATAGTTTACCTTATTAAATATTTTAACATTCACAATGAATGATTGGGTTATTTTAATATTTTTCAGTTGGAAAGACTTCAAGCCGAAAATGCTTCAGAATGGGGTAAGAGAGAACGTCTAGAAACAGAAAAACTGACGCTAGAACGGGATAACAAGAAACTAAGAACAGAAGTTAGAGATTTACAAGAACGTTTAGAACGCAAGGGAAGTCGAACTTTGAGCACGTCAGATGCGGAAATTCGACACCTCCAACAAGAACTCTACGAAAAAACCAAGGTACCATTTTATAAAAAGCTGAAATTATTGATTTTTGTTAATCAAACTTATCTATCTAGGAAATTTCCGAATTGAAGCATGCACAAAGCAAACTGAAAAAGTTGCTTCAAGATAAAGTGACTGAACTGTCTCACACGACGAGACGAGCGGAACAGTATGAAGGCGAAGTGAAGAAACTCAGAGGACGGGTTGAAGACTTGAAAAAAGATCTGGCAGCGATCGAAGATGAACTTGACGCTTCTCAGAATCACGCTAGGAAGTTGCAAAGGGCGAATGACGAGCTTCAAGAGCAAGTTGATAGTTTTCAAGTGCAATTGCAGCATTTACATACCAGGTTAGTAATTATAAATTTATTTTAATGTTAAAAATATCTGTGCGTCATCAATGATTCAATATTTCCGCAAGTGGAATTTTTAAGAGTCATAATTGTGTCTAATTTTTCGTTCTCTGTGTTATTTTGTAACGTTCTTCTGGTTATCGGACTACTGTAGTTTTTTTCAAATATTTTTTTCCCAACAGAGGGTACATAATCAATGAGAATTGGTGTTTTGGGTAATAAAAATAATATATATATTGTACGTGCAAAAAATATATAAATTTATATTATGTATTTTACGTTAAAGTCTCCTCTTTGCTTGTAGAGTCTACTTTGGTTACGGGGATTCCGAACCGTAGTCCTCAGCCATACCGGTTGCGTCTCAAAAGTGGCTCGCCCCTATAACATTTTTATTTTTTCAGAGAAAACAACGAGATTTGGTATGTTAGTATATGACATAAATTAGGATTGATTGACAGTTTTAATTGTTTCCGGTCACTTCCGGTTTCACCGGAAATGACTACAACTTTTGATTTTTAAATAACATTCTCGGTATTTTTTTACTTTATTTGATAGAAAATGAGTCTCTGAATAGAATGACATATATGTCAACTTTTGACATTTTTGCATATCGTTTATTTGAAATTATAACATGCGGTTCATAACGACGATTTGACTCGAAATACCAAGTGTCTGGTATCAAATTATTCGTAAAAAATGCTTTTTCCAAATATGCTAATGAGCCACCCTCATTCCATTTGAAAAAATTGAGATATAATTAAAAATCCGCGCAACCTTCCAAGTTAAATTAGATGATGACCTCAAAACAGAAAAAATACTACTCGGCAAGGGCGTGAGACAAGGAGATACCATCTCTCCCAAGTTATTTACACTGGCACTGGAAAATGTCTTCAAGAAATTAGAATGGGAAAATAGAGGTCTAAACATCGATGGGGTACACCTTAGCCATCTGAGGTTCGCAGACGATATTGTCTTGCTGAGCACCGACATTCAAGAACTAAACACCATGCTAAATGAGCTAAATGATCAATCCCAGAAAATTGGCCTTAAAACCGAAATGAGCAACAATATCCATAACATTACCGTGGACAACGTTATTATTGAAAACGTAGACCATTATATATATTTAGGTCATAAAATCAAGCTGGGCAAGGAAAACCAAAATACGGAGATCGAATGCAGGATCCATTTGGCATGGGTAGCATTTGGAAATATGAGCGCTATTTTCAAGGATAAAAAGGTGCCCATGAACCTAAAGAAAAAGGCTTACGACAGCTGCATTCTACCTGTGCTTACGTATGGCTTAGAGACTATGGCAATTACTCGAAAAACAGCAGAACAACTACGAGTAGCACAAAGAGCCATGGAAAGAATCATGTTGGGAGTCACCATTAGGGAAAAAATACGGAATACCCACATACGTCAAAAACAAAATTAATAGATGTCGTTAAAAGAGTAGCAAGTCTGAAGTGGCAATGGATAGGACATGTGGCAAGACAGGATCCAGACCGATGGCCCCAAAAGTAATCCTATGGAGACCTAGGGGAACAACAAGAAGTGTGGGCCGACCAAAAAAGAGATGGGTCGATGACGTCAGGGCAGTGGCGGGAAGACAATGGATAAGATTGGCTAGAGATCGCGAAGCATGGAAAAACCTAGAAGAGGCCTATATCCAACACTGGATGGAACCAGGCTGAGAAAGAAAGAATTAAAAATACGAATTAGGCATCTTTTAACCTGCCAGGACGAGACACTAAAAACACTAGACTATCAAATCCATTTTTCAAAGGCTCCTTAAAAATTAGTGTTTTTAACACAACCATGGCACATGGATTGAGATTTAAAATACAATTTGTTTTTGAGCAAATATGGTAAAAGTTGACATATGATATGTCATTCGATTCAGAGTGTAATTTTCTATTGAATAAAGTAAAAAAATATGGAGAATGCCATTTAAAAACCAAAAGTTGTAGTCATTTCCGGTGAAACAGGAAGTGACCGAAAACAATTGAATATGTCAATCAATCCTAATTTATGTCTTATACTAGCATACCAAATCTCATTTTATCTGAAAAAATAAAAAAATTATAGGGGTGGGCCACTTTTGAGATGCACCCGGTATACTATACAAACTTGCGAAACTAAGCGGTTGTTTAAATATTAAGATATCAGATCTCCTTCGGCCTTTAAGTAGCGTGCAACAATGCGCCCCAACAGATTTTACACTGTTGCCATAGAACAACGGCACGACGGAGATTTTAGACGTTTACCCGTCTAAATTCCAAATACTCACGTTCTGTAACGTCGCTTTACGTCGGTGTTTTACCGTAGCTGAACTTACAGCTTGAATGTACCGGATGGCCAACTAAGAATGGACGCCGCCTGTATCTCAGAAACTACTTATCGTATAACTTTGGGAAAAAAATTGTAATAAGTAAATCGGTCAAAAGAAATCGCTGGAAATTATTTTCAAGTTTCAAAAACGTCCGTTAGGGGGCGCTTTTTTGATAGCCAATCAGAAACAAGTGTTTTTCTCAAAAATATGCAGGTGAAGAGGTATTTTAAATATTACTATTTTAATCATCGAGAAATTTATAATTTTTTTTGTTATAGAGTATTTTGCTCTATCTCATAAAATAAAGTGGTGGGGGAAGGTTAAACTTGCTTTTATTAAAATAAGGATAACTCTGGTTTAGTTTAGCCGATTTTAACAAACTAGGGCTCGTTTAAAAGAGTTTTTCTTCCTTAATAATCTCCAGTATAAATTATGTTTCCATAGATTTTTTCGTGGTAGCTAGAGGGCGCTGTTTGACATCATAACAGATATTGTGCTTTTGCATAAACAAATTAAATAGCAGGTTATGTTTCTTTGTATACCGGTAGAATTTAGAATAAGTGGGAGGGGGGTTAATCTCTGCGACCTTAGATATCTATTGTGTCCCCCTTTCTTGAGTTATAACTCATCATACAGACCCAGGACTTCCTAAGGAGACCCGTGTCCTTCACAGTCAAGAGAAGCTACGACCCAGGCCGGGTAGACGAAACGGTAGCTTGTGTCGCCTGTTGGGTTTAGAGGTAGGAGGTAGGCTCCCGACCCTTGGAGGAGGTGGTAACTTGTATGCTACTTGCGGAGGATGGTGTCACGCAAGTGTCAGCCACCTCTCCTGTAGTTCTCTTTGGGTTTGGCCCCTTGGAACTTTCATTGTTACTGTTCCCAGTGTTGCTAGGGGGTTTCCCCACAGCTTCACCGGTGATGTTTTTATTACTATTATTACCAGATCTCATAGTGTTCCCATGAGTCGCTAGGGACAGTCGGTCCACTTCTACAGAGCCCCGCATGTAAAAGTAAGTGGTAAAATACAGTGGGGTGCCCTCCGGTGCCCTTGTATACCGGTAAATAGAGCACAAAATTTTCAATATATCAGCGCAAACCGCAACTTTCTATCTTCTCTGTAACTGGAGATATTGAGAGAAAAAATCATGTTAGGCTGCTGCTTATGATTATATGGTCTAAAAATTATAGTAGTAGGCTAGGAAACAAAAAGAGGTAAATGATTACGTCTCTGATGATCATCTGCTCATGATGCTAACATGGTTAGCGAAACGCGCGTCCAGTGCAAAAGTAAAATGTTTTGGTGTATTGTGATGAATTAGTGTTTTATTTTGCCATATGATACACATCAAAATATTTTTTTATATTTGACATGAATAATTTATTTCATCATTTTTTTAGGTAAATAATAAAAAATATCATATTTTTTGCAAACTTTTTGTTAGGTATTGTAATTTAATAGACCATGTCATGTGATACGAAAAAAAGGGGGGCGTCAGAGTAGGCTTAAAATAGACGATCGCTATCTGATGAATGTCAACTTGACGCCTTTTTTTGCGATCATACAGTATAGATATAATAAAAAGTCCTTGCAAATTGATCCCTTTGCGGGTTTCATTTTTTGGGTTATAATACATCACCATTTTGAATACATGTGTTGTATTAGTCATAAACTTCTGTTTGTATATCATTGATGACGCACAAGCAATTTTCTTCTTGTAAAAAATTTATATTAATTATGGTGGAAGAATTCTTATCTGAAATAACATTTCCTATCATAAATTAATCTCATGGTACTTCTAAATTCCTTCTTTTCTTCTAACTTTTCGATGCGTAGTATGGAAAAGGAGGACGGAGGTGAGGAGATGGCGCTTTTTGAGGAGGAAACGGACGTTGTAAGTAAATTGAGGCGTTAACCGCATAATAACGAAATAACTAAAATACTGAAAGTGCGCTTTTGTCTCTAATTTTTTTTTAGCTGCATGGCAATGGTTTCGTGAGATTTGTATAGTTTATATTAACATAAAACTAGGCATGCTAATAATGAAGGATAGTTGTGCTCGATCTGTGTTCTATAATTAATTGTTAGGTAAGTTTTTGGGATGTTGATTTTTTTATTGATGTATACTGTTTACTCATAATGTTTACTACATAACTTTGGAATCAGAATAAGTTAATTATACACTATTTGCCTCATACAAAACACTTGTTTGTGTTATATTAAAGTTTTCTAAAATGTGTGACCAAAACCTAGACGTGTTTCGAGGGTCGAACTATTCCACCCCTAAAAATATTTGCACATATTTAAAACTCACCCTGTATATCAAAATTGTGATATTTTAAATATGGTAATCGCAAAATAATTTCCGATGCACGTGATCAAGTTTGAGTGACAAGCGATGGCGACAGCGCTGCCAGATTGTGATGGATTTATGAGATGAATCTTAATTTAAAAGTGACAAACAATATATTTATTATAGTCTGTCCAACGAGAAGATCCTTGACAGTGATAGATGTGTCTGTCATTTTAATTTCAAAGTAGTTTACAAAGAAATAAGTTACTGTACAACAGGAACACATGGCAGGAAATTAATATATTTAAAATTTGACTGACAATTACTTCAAAATATTGTGAAAAAACTGTATAAAACTGAAAAAATGTAATCGAGTTATTTTATTTAACAAAAAACGGTATGTGTTAATACAAAACAAACAAGAACAAGACACCGCATACCAAAAAATATAAAAAAGAACTATTTCTTACTTTCAAGCTTTATGAAACTTCCCGCATTTATGATTATATTTATCAATAAGTATAACTTATGTACAAATACAAATTTGTAATATTCCACAGGAATAAATAAAACAACATAAATAAAACAAACTATTTTATTAATAATAACACTTACCAAATTTTATACCTTAAAGGTTGATTAATTAACTTTAATCTTAATTTTTTTAAACCAGTACCTTTTGACATTATTTTTCTGCAGTAGGTACTAAAATCCATTATTTACCTATCGTGTGATATCAATTTTACAGCCACTCCAGTTTTTAGTATGTGTTTAGTATGGTCCTTCTACCATATTCGAGATGCACTTATCTACGACGAGATGTTATACGCACTTTATTGATGGTAACTTTATTGGTGTATAAGACTTTCTGCCTGGACAGCGAGTATTAACCATAAACTGTGCTCTGGGTCTACAGTTAATTTTCACTCGATTTTTCCTCCACTTGACTTCAAAAGACACAAAACACACGTAATAACACGAATCAAAATGCATCATCTTCCAAAACGCAGGGTATTTGACAAAAGTTGACACAAAATTATAACCTACAATTTGGCAAGACTTTGACAAGCGTCAAAAATCTAAAGGCGAGGTCATACGCATCGGCGTCCGTTTGTCGTTTATCGTTCCGTCAAACCAATAAAATTGAAATACGATCTGTCATTTTTGAAATAAACCAATAAAACTGGTTAAAAACAACAAGAGACGACGCACGACAGATTTATATTTAAACCCATCCATAGTTAACTTAAAAATTATTAGAAACTTTTTTTAGTAAAATAAATAGATTGGTGTGGGACGTTATCTGCTTTTCTTCTGTCATCCTGAGTATATATCATTTTTTAAAGATTTTTACGTTTTATTTTTAATTTAATAACTAATATTTTAGTAATTAATTGATTTATTTGTTTTATAGCTTATTTTACTTATTACATATTGGCAAAAACTAGTCTCTAACTTTGAAAGTAGTATAATGTGCTTATCAATCAAACTTACTTTTCTGATTGCAGTCAAGGGTAATAAAGGACCTTTATTGTCACGTTCTCGTTCAATGCTCTTTGCTTCGACTGTTTAAATGCTTCGGCATATTTTCAACACACAATTTCAAGAAATGCAGTACAAAAACTCGAAAATTTAGTCCTTAAAAGAACTGTTTGTACTTAAAAGTGTAATTTTTAAAAAAAGACTATGAAAATAGGCAAAAAAACGAGAATTACTCACAAAGATTCAACAACAACGCGATATTATACAAAATAATGACTGTCACTAGGATAATTGTCAGATAATAAAAGACAACATTGCTGAACACGAAGCAATGTGACCAACATAGCGATAATAAAATTCGGTTTAAACTAAATTTTGCAGCTTTAATCTAAATAAAATATCTGTTACAATCATTTGCTCTATAAAGTAAAATGAAGAGCTACTCGGTATATTAAGTTATACAACAAATTTAAACATTTTTGCCATAATTTTATTTAGTCAGATTTATAGACTTTAGTGTCAATGTCGATATGATTGATGACGTGCATCGGAAAATGTTTTGCGATTACAATACACGTTTATGTAAAAAATGTATCACTGTTTGATGCATTACAAAACTTGCATGATACAAGAAGGTTAGATAAGATCCTTGGCGGTCGCAAATGTGTTCTCCGCGCGCATGACGTAACTAGGGTAGTAATTTTCTGTTAAGCTCCGCCAACTGCATGCGCAATATCTTCTCTCAAAGGATCCCTGGGTACCTATTCTTGAAAGCGAGAGAAGGGAGTGGTCCCTGGGAGCTCCCGGGGAATGCTCCCTCACTCGACCTTCCTGAAAACGAAATGTCGTATTCTTGAAGTACCGAAAGCACCGAGGAGTATAAGAGGGGAAGTAGAATCGGGGAACAGCGTTGCCGGTCTGTACAACCAATAGAATTACAGCAAATCTTGACAGTCAGCGGCTTACTTATTCTATGGTCAGCGACTTCGGCTTGCGTACATCGCGTCTAGAAATATAATTTACTTTAAAACGTAAAATTTCGAACGATTGCAAATGTAGGTTGATTTGTTTGTGTTTCAAGTCTTTGTGCCTCCCGTAAGATCAACAAAAGGGTTTTTTTGCTTGTTTTGCACTTTAGTCAATACAGAAACTTTATTCAGAGACGTATTATTTTCAAATTAAGGACATTAAAGCTTCATTCAGAACCTCCCAATTATTGGAATAAATTAGTGGTTTCAATTACACTTTTTAGTTTACGATCATTCACAATGTCTAAAAAACACAATTAAAATTAATAAAATATCCTAGGAACAGCTTGCGGTAGCCTGTTGTATCCATAGAGAAAGCATAATATTTAGCTTATAAAACAATAAACTTTTGATTTCTAACCAAATTTTTTTTTGACGGGTGATAATCAAAGGCCAAAATGACATTCCTCGCAAATTTTGAAGTATAATTAGTGGAAAAGTCAAAGGTTTGTTAACTTTTTCCACTACCTAATTGAAAATTACTACCACTAATTATGACGTTCCGAATGCTTACATTAAAATTAGGTGAACAAACTTCTACGGCTAATTAAAACTACTAATTTATTCCACTGATTTCGAGGTTCTGAATGAAGCTTTAATACAGCGGGTACAAACAAAAACGACTAATATCTAAATTTAAAATGTTCAAAAAATATATATACTTTTTGGAGTTTTTATCCATATTCAAAGCCATATATTCCACTATAACCGTAATTTATGCATAAGAAAACTTTATTGATTTTTTATTAAGAGAAGATAAATGTTCTCTTTTTATACCTTAATTTTGGTTCTCAAACAAATGCACATTTACTAATTTTAAAAATGACATGTTTAAATTTCTATCCACCCTGTATAAAACATTGTTTACACACATTCAAAGAAACATCTTTATCTATTAATATTAAGTCTGTAACAACCGAGTAAACAAAACACATCGTAAATAAATACGGTAAGTTGGGTTAGGTTTGCTCTCTCCCTCACTTTATAGTAAGAGAACTTTTAACTCCCTAGCATCTCCCCAGTTTCTTACTCCCTCCCACAATATTTTTCAAGAATACGGAAACTACCAGTTTTATGATTACCACGCCCACTTCTCTCGGGAGTTCTACTCCCTGAAACTCAAGAATAGGTACCCTGGCGGTGGCAAATCGGTTCTCCGCGCGCATGACGTCACCCGGATAGTAATTTTCTGTTAAGCTCCGCCCACTACATGCGTAATATATTATCTAACCCTCCTTGTATCAAGTTTTGCATAACTTGTTTCGCTTGGGATCATTTTGATGTAAATATTTTCCATTAAATTGACTACTTGAAAATTATTACCTTGTAGCTAAAGTTTAGCTAGTATATTTTGCTCTTCCTTTTGTAAATTTGCTCTGCTTGTACTAATCATTCTATTATAATAAGATACATTTTCATTTCATTAATCTAATCCATTTATTTAAGAGATCATATCATTATTAATTTTCTTGCACGATCATTATTGGACTTCAAGTAGTTAGGAAAATGCAAATTAATAATATTTTTGTTTCATATTTTAGATTGCGTAACCAAAACTCGGCAACACTGTTGGCACATCGTGTCGCTACACTGCCTAAGTCTTGCAGCGATGCCGAGGATGAGTTGAGCGAGTTCCTGTAAATAAATAATCCTCTTGTCCTAATTCTTTGTCTTTATCCCACTTCTAAACTACATTTATTAGAAAATCCTAACCAGAATTACATCCAACCTTTACAGTGAGTCCCATTTTCGTATGTCTTAAGCCATACTTTGGTTCCAGCGTTGGAAACAATATTTGGCACAGTTTTTGACAATGTTATACAATAGACATATTTGGCAAAAATGTATCACCATTATAGCAGTTCTTAGAACCTTAAAAAATAATTTGTATTACTTTTTTTAGAAAGCTCATAACACGGCAAATAAAATAAAAACAATATACAAGGTATCCAATCTAAAAAAACATCAGTTTTGGTCATACTTCAAGAATAACAGCTCCCAGTGAAAAAAAACTAGTTACGCCAATGAATTCTTCATGAAACACTATGGGACTCAGTTTCCACCTTTTTGATAAGTTATAAGATAACCGAGATATGAGGGGAGTCGGAAAATGCAACAATTTCAAATACGCCCTGTATATCAGGGACTAAGAGGGCTAGGACAAATATATGTGAAAACCGCCATCTTTGTTCTTTCACTCATAAACGAGAAACCCTTAAAACACACGAAAATGAAACACCCTGTACATAACTTTAGTAGACCTAATATTTTCTCAGTGCACATATTTTTCAAATGCACTAACAATCTACTATAAAAACCTGACTTTTCTTTTTTAAGAACCTTTACAACAATTGTTTTCATCCTGTACATTACTAGAATTACTAGATGTAAAATTTCTCAGTGCACATATTTTTCAAATGCACCCACCCTGTATACTAATACTAAAGCGTTTATTTTTGTGAGTGTGAGTGTAAGTAAGTATCCGTATTATGCGAGATTAATACATGTATATTTTTATATATTTATTTAATTTCAAATCTGTCATATACAGGGTTTAGAAAGACAGAGCCTAAGATAGAAAATTTAATGGTTTGTGGCCTATTTAAAGTACCTATAGATTTATAAAAAATAATAATCTAAAAAGTAGGAACGAAGAAAGAGTTTTTGGTGTATCAATTTTATATGTATCTAACATTATGTTGTGAATAAGATTCCAAAAATATATTGAATTTAATAAATGGAATATATTACCTATTTTGACAGAATATTTTGACAGACTTTATTTTATATTGTATTTACTCTTTAAAAACGTTTGTAACACACAATACTTTTTTCATTATTTGCCCCTAAGCAGTGTCAAAGTTTAAGAGAAGAAAATATTAAATACCGTATGATTAAAAGAAAAGGGTTCAAGTTGCCTTGGAAATGACGATCATTGTTATTCCCTATATAAATTTCCATATAAAATGACAGCGATCTTGATTTCTAAGCTAACTCTGACACCGTTTTTTTTTCGATCGCATTAACTTACGATTTTTCTATTTTTAAAAATACTTAAATGAACAGAAAGTTTAGTTTAAAGATTTTCATACCTATTTCAAAAAATCACATACGATTTATTTTTGGATGGTTCAAGATACCATCAAGCTTTAATAATCCTTGTGAAAATAACAGAAGGCTAGTTGCAATTTTTGTCTCTTTGTGCTAAGAAGTATTTTTTTATAGACTATTTGGTAAAATTTACTAAAAAATAAACAAAAATAATATACAGGGTTATTCACCTCATTCGACACGGAGTATTGTTATTGAGTCAGTATTGTGTGATGGGATTGTTGTAAGACTACAATTTAAAATTATTTTCAGAAGGTACAGAGTGTCCCAAATAAATAAAAAATATCAAAGTTTTATTTATTTAAGTGGAACATCCAGTGTATTATTACATTTTTGGGTTCTACGGTTAAAATAAAGGAAATTTAAATTAAGGTTTACCGCACTTTAATCTTATCGTTTTTGAAATATTTACGTTTTTGTGAAAATACAGTAACAGTGTCCCAGATATACCTAAGTGCAAGTATTTTAAGGGCTGGTAAATCTCGATAAAAGAAACATATTTTCTCTTTATCGTTTTTCAAATAAGTTCAAAATAACGGAGTTATTTTACTTTGAAAATTTCCAAAAAAAAATATTTTTTGCTAAAATTTTGAGAACCACTGGATCTTTTCTGGATTTTCTTTCTTGTAAATTTAATCTAATACCTACATATGTTGCCATATTATCAAGAAATTATGTTTTTGAACTAAATACTAAAGATATTTCCAAAAAAATTTTCAAAAAATTTCGAATTTTCAAAAAATTCTTAATTAATTAATTATTACATTTTTAGTTTCTACGATTAAAATAAAGGTAAATTTGATTAAGGTTTACCGCATTTTAATCTTACCGTTTTTGAAATATTCAGGTTTTGTCAAAAAAAATCAAATGTTTCATTTATCTAGGCGTATTTAAGTTTTTAAAACCAAATATTGTATTGAAGTATTTTTATTTACAAAATTTTGTGTTGCAATAATAAAATTTATACTACCATATACAGAGTGTCTAAAAATGTATTTTAAATAATTACTAGCTTTAAACGGCAATAACTTGTTTAATTTAAATGGTACACCCTGTATATTTCATGAATATCAGATGCACAATTTAATTGTCTATCAAATTGTATTACACCATTTTTTACCTATCTCTTCAAGTTTTCGTAGAAAATGCATTTTCTTATAATTTAGATCTCATTTATCAATATACCTATGGAATATTGGCATTTTACATTATTTTTAAAGACAAACTTTTAAAGAGTACAGATACTAATATTGTTGATATAGTTCGTTTATTTCATTAAAAAAATAAAAAAATAAATATTTGTTAAAGAGGACCAATTAATATGATTCCAGTATTCAAACTACATTAATTGCCTGTTTGCGTTGGTAATATCTGCTCCAAATACTAAAAAACTGAATTTTGTATGTGTATTAGACAGTATGATAAAAAGTGTAACACCTTAAAAATTTTATTTCATTTTTTGACGAATGCTTATTTATAAAAACACAGAAGTTCATTTTCATAACTTATATTGATTTCTGATTCAAATCCACAATAATTTAGAATAATTTATTAACTAGCACAATTAAGTATGTAATTAATTAATATTTGGGCGGATATATATGGTGGTATATTTAATTATTTATATTAGTATACTCTTTTATAAAGATATAAAATAGTTTTTTTTGTATAGAAATGAGTTAGTAATATTATCATTTTTAGCACCTGTACATTTTGTACATTTGTTGCTTTAAAAACAATCTAAAATGTTAATATTCCATGGGTATATTGATAAATTAGGTCTAAATTATAAGAAAATGTCTTTTCTACGAAAACTTGAAGAGATAGGTAAAAAATGGTGTAATACAATTTGATAGACAATTAAATTGTGTATCTGATTCTTCTAAAATATACAGAATGGTCCCTTTAAATTAAATAAGTTATTGCTGTTTAAAGGTATTATTGCAACACAATAACTGATCAATAAATAAACTTCAGTAAATATTTAGTATTAAAAACTTTAATACACTTGGAGAAATAAAGCCTTAAAATTTGTATTGCAATTTTACAAAATTGAAAATATTTCAAAAACGGTAAGGTTTAAATGTGATAAACCTAATCAAATTTACCTTTATTTTAATCGTAGAAACTAAAAGTGTAATAATATACAGGTTGTTCCATCAAAAAAAATACAACTTTGATATTTTTTATTTATTTGGGACATTCTGTGTCTTGTAAAAATATTTTTAAATTGTAGCTCTAATAGTCCTTTAACGAACACAAAACTTACAATTTGTAAAAATCTAATCATTTAGCTACAATACTTCGTGTCGTATGTGGTGAACAACCCTGTATAGTACTAACATGGTACCTCTGAATACAGAAGTTACCTTGTGGCGGTATCAGTTTACAAGGAGAAATGTGTAACGAATTATCGATAATTTTTTTTCTTTATCATATTTTTTATTTATTTATTAATAGAAATATATCTCTTGTTTATAAGTATATTATGAAACAGAAGCAATAAATTTATTAATTACTTTTTATAACTGATTTTAGTGCCTTAATTTTGATTTTTTTATGTACCACATGACCCACTGACCCCATTAAATGTTTCTTACTACGATATTAAGGGGTCAAGAAACCAGTATCACCAGTCTATTCCTTATTCAAACCAAAATTGCGAAATTGTCATCATAGTCGAAAAAAAATACTTACATAAATAATTTTGATTCGTAAACCTTCCTTCTTTGATAACCAGACAGTTCTAGGTCAAACAGTAAGAAGGACAAACACGGACTAAAGATTTGTTTTTATATTTATTATGTTTTGTAATTTGTGAAATAAAAAAATAATCAATTAAATTTGTGTTTTATTATAAAAATTAATACATAACGTTAATTATCCTATTTAACTTTTTTTTAGTTAAATATACATATTTCTCTTGCCTTGTTTGGTATCAGAAGATACTACATCTATTTAACTATTATTTAGTAGGTCAAGTCTCTGTCAATATACAGGGTGATTTACGGCCATGGCACGTTAAACGTTTATTGAGAAAAAAAGGCACCTACTCCATCTGTCTAAATTATTTTCAGCATCACAGTGTTGCCGCTTCATACTAAAAATATTATCATCTTAGTTATTTTAAATGGAACACTCGCTATATTATTATATTTTTCGAAACTACTTTCATATCTCGTAATTTTTCTATTATACTAACCTATACCAATATCTAATAGTTTTCGAGATAAAAAATAAAATCTGTATGAAATTAACAACATTATGATCTTGAATAAGTATTAGTTAAATCATAAATTCGGCATATTGACAGCTGAAATTTGGTTTATAGGCTAAGGAAAGTCTACATGACATCGGATCTGTCTAAATCTACAGATAGCAAACAGGGAGGTCAGAAAAAATAATTATTTTCGTTTGTTATAAAATCGTCCAAATTATTGATATTTTAAATTCAAGCCTATGCATATTATTTAAAAAATAGAAACCCAAATAAAATTGAAAGGGTGGCTGCAATAACCAGGCAGCTCCACTTTTTTTCGAAAGTGAGATTTTTAATGAATTACCCTTTAAAAAAGTTGATCGATCGTTTCCTGCAACAATCAGTTCTCCCAATATAACTCTACAGGGTGAGTCAAATTCGACGCTTTTAAAGGGAAACACCCTTTTCTATAGAAGATAGACGAAAACTAATATCGGTGTCTGGAGCTCAATTTTTGTCAAAAACATGATGGTGGAAACCGCATATCGATATCTGTTACCGTTTCGGAGTCACGGGGCGTTTTTTAAAAATGTGCATTTTTAACAAATCGCTGTAAATTTTTTGCTATGGAAAATTTTGTATTTTTATAAAAACATTTCCAAAGCACTTTTCTACGTAGAATTTAATGGTTTAAGTATAATTTTTTTAAAGTTAATAATTTAAGAGTTATCAACAGAAAATGTAATTTTTTATATGGGACACCCTGTAAATTTTTAATTTATTGAAAAGAATTTAAAATTATCTTTCCAAAAATATAGCACACTTGCTATTTTGCTCGATTCCTCTTCGAGATATAGAGTTTATAAAAATTCGTCCACTTTAAATAAGTAGGCTTTAAACGGCGCCGGCTGTAATGCAAAAAGAAATCTAGCTGTGAACATCAATTAAAACGAAAATAATATTTGCAATGATAGATGCAGAATTTTATAACAATTCGAACTATATTTAATCATCAACACATTTAAACTATATCTAATAACAATAAAAAATAAATAGCAAACCAAGACATGAGATTTTGCTACAGATGTTCGACATATCGACCGTCTTTTTTGAACATTTCTCGCGGAATTAATTAACTCAGTGGAGGTGAAAGATACCCTCTCATAACTGCTAAGTATTTCTAATTCTTGTCGAGATTATACGGAAGAATAAGCAACCTTTATTCTTCCGCAATATATCCATAGGATTAGATCCATGGGCACTAAGTCAGGCGGCCTATTCAATTATTCTTGAAATTGGCTGCAAACATTTGCTGATAACTTTAGCGTTCAGAGGCGGTGCCTCGTCTTGCTGGAAAAATATGTTTTCGAGTTCCATTAAGAGCATATCATCAATAAGGGGTCCAAAGCCTACTAGTTAAAAGTGGCAAACTTTTAAAAATTCTGTATTTCGAAGGGGATTATAACAAAATATCAAGTGTGCTACATTTTTGGAAAGGTAATTTTAAATGCTTTTCAGTCAATTAAAAATATTGAGGGTGTCCCAAATAAAAAATCAAATTTTCTGTTGATAACTCTTAAATTATTAATTTAAAAAAAAATATACTTAAACCATAAAATTCTACGTCAAAAGGTGCTTTGGAAATGTTTTCATAGAAATACATAATTTTCCATAGCAAAAAAGTTACAGCGATTTGTTAAAAATGCACATTTCTGAAAAACACCCTGTAACTCCGAAACGGTAACAGATATCTATATGCGGTTTTCACCATCATGTTTTTGACAAAAATTGAGCTCCAGACACCGATATTAGTTTTAGTCTATCTCCTATAGAATAGGGTGTTTCCATTTAAAACCGTCAAATTTGACCCACCCTGTACATAAATGGCGACGTTAGTTACAGCAGCCTTGCTCTGGGTTTACAGCAAGAACCTGGGTTTAAAGCCATCCCTTAATTGCTTTTCAACGATATATCATGTTGCTAAACCTTCTGGTTAAAACCCATAAAAGTCATTTAAAAGATAAACAATAATAACAACTATAATTCTATTATATGAATAGTTGTTTCGTTTAAAGAAAATCGGTACCATGACAAATATTCAAACTTTATAAGTATCAGTTAGAGTTTACTTGCCAAATTTATAAAATTGTCATGTTATGAAATTTTTGACATGAGACTATAATAATAAAATTATTAATTTTTAAATAGCTCTACTTAAAAACCGGAATGTTTAAGTATAGGAATATGACATATCGTTGAAAAGATGTTTTTATTAGTCTTTTGATTTTTTAAATAATATACATAGAGTTGAATTTAAAATAACCAAATTTTAGCAATTTTATAACAATGCCAAAAAATTTTTTATTTCCGTAAATAATTTGTTGGTTTTCTCTGTGTAATATCCAAGGAGTTGATTTAGACAGATCGAATATATAGACTTTCCTTAACTTATAACCCAAATTTCATCTTTTAGAATGTTCAATTCATGATTTTACCAATGCTTATTGAATATCATGTTTTTGTCAATTTTACATATGTATAGGTTAGTATAAAATTATGAGATATGAAAGTAGTTTCCAAAAATGTAATAATATACCGGGTGTTTCATTTAAAATAAGAAAGATGCTACCACTTTGCAAATGATGCGGCAACATTGTAATGCTGACAAGATTTCAGATAGATGGAGCAGGTGTCTTTATGTAAAAATCCAAATTTTCAAAAAAAAACGGTTCTCTATAAACGTCTAACGTGCCATCGCCGTGAATCGTCCTGTATATTCAGTGTCATACACAAAGTCCCTATCATATATCGAATGTTATATGATTTAATTTTTTTTAAACAATATCGAACAGAGTATAAAATATATATGTATGTAGGTACTGGTAAAAATCAAATCTACATTTTTTTCATCATATTTTCCACGATATTTTGTGATATGCAGTTCAAATAATATAACATTTTATTATTTATGAAAGTAATAGTAGTAATTACAGTAATTTTCTAGTACTAATGTAGATAATAATTACTACTACTAAAGTCTTTCCAACTAGTCAGAAAAGATTTTGACAGACGACTATACTATGCAAATTATGTAAAGTCTGTCAAACAAAAGGGAGAGAGAGAGAACACACAACAGTGACAGATGTATGTCATTTTAATTTACAGGTATTGTATCATTTTCTGAATGTATTTTATAAGAAAATATTGTGAAATCAAGTGTTATAGAGTTGAAGTTTATAGAGCAAAATATAATTTTGTTAGGCAATGTCTATTTTTTGTTTGAAAATAGTAATTTCCACGGGGGTGTCACTTGTATGGGAAAACAGGCAACAGTCAAATTTAAACGTGCCAGGACCAACGACAAAGAAAGCAACATCTGCCAGGCATTGGCTTTCTTTGTCACTCACATTGATTAAATCATGATACCGCGGCCATTTTGTCAACAAAGAAGCTGGCCGGGCTGTCCTGGCAAGTGATTTAAAACAATTTTGCTTTTTTACAATATTAAATTACCATTTGGATGTATTTAATGCGATTATTCAGTTAACTGGTAAGTCAGAAATTACACACAAATACTTTATTCGTAAATACAACTAAGATGTAAACGTATTTTTGTATTTTTAGATTTCAACTCTTACAAAGACTCGCCGATAGAACTTGCCTGGCAGCGTACCTGTTTAACTAAACGTATTATTTCCTGATAATAATATCAAAACACGTAAGTACCTCTATAATTTATGATGAAAAATGATTTTGATTATGTTTTATATTATTTAAATACTTTCTAACCTCAAATAATAGTAAGATCCTTGTTTATATCGCGCAGCCCGTTCAAAACTGTATTGTCTTCAAAAAATGTTTACAAAACAAACAATTATTAAAAAAACAATGTCCTTTTAATCTGATTTATACCTCAGAAGGATGCCAGTAAAATTTTATTAAATCAACATTATATTATTTGGCCGTTAATATGCAAAAATGAGCATATTGCCTTAACTTAAATTTTCTTTTACTTCTCGTGACAATGTTCTCTATATTCTCTATTTTGAGTTAGTAAACTTTTGAACGGGATGTGCGATATATAAAATACATAATATATCCAAGGGTATGATCTGATAAAAGTATTTTTTGATGCATTTTTGGTTGTTTATGCACGTTGGCTTGGTTTATGTTTTATTCAGCTTATATTTATTTGGTATAACAGTTTTTTTTGCCTTTGGAATGGCATGCATTGAGGCTAGATAGTGTTTCATTAGATCATTAAAGGAATTTAAATTAGCATATATTTTTTGTGATATTAGTGTGTTATCATGATACAGGTAGTTGTATCATAGTGCCTTACGCATGTTATTTACCTATTATATACTTATGTGATGTATTATCAGTAAATAGATGATAACATACTACTAAAATGTCTTTTTAATAGTATGTTTATCTTTCCAATTCACTAGTTATTTGCAAAATGTATTTTGAACTAATTTAAGTCATTAATTGATCATCTTTCTTTTTCAGGTTCCGGGATATTCTTTTTCATTGTTAAAAAAATATATATATTTCAATATTATTGTAATATAAATCGCAGCTCTAAAAAATAAATGATATTGTTTACTAATGTGTAATTTATTTACTATGAATTTTCTCTGAAAATAATAAGTCTTTCATAATATCATTGATTTGCTGTGTAAATTTAATAGACATATTTTTTAATACATTAAATTATATTAAAGTAATAAAAAATATGTTTATTAACTTTAAACAGTAAGTCAGTGATACTTATAAAAATATTTTTTTAAAAATTTCCCCTCTTTTAAGCCTCGCCCCTCCAATTCCCCTCAATTTAGCTAGTACTGCCAGGCGACACCATGTGGCGTCTGTTTCCATTTTTTAACATGAAGTTAGCATTTCTTTAATGTACCTATTCTCTGGTAATTTCACTATGGAACTTTGACGTATTCATTTTTTGGCATACTTTTTGAAAAGAAAATCAGTTCTGTCTTATTTTATATGGACCTTATATACAGGGTGATTCGAACTGTATTCCGGAAACATATTCGGCAGCATATTCTGCAGATAAAAATAAGTAAAAAAGTTCGTATAAATGTATGTCCTAAAATGCTTACTTTCAGAGATATAGGGTGTAGAAGTTTCATTTTTATTCAGGATTTTTTCTAAATAATTTCTGAAGTAAGGTCAATATTTGGATGAAAATTGGTGTCGGAGTTTTTTGACATGAGAAAAAAAATTATTTTGGTGTCAATATGACACCTACTAGTAGAGGGCGCCACCTACATGTGTTTTAACTGTTTTGAAGCGTAATAACTTTTTATTCGTACCTGTATAACCCTACCGAGCGAAAAAATATACATCTCTGTGACTTTTTACGTAAAAAATATCTCTTTGTAAAAATCGCTACGAGCAACCGTTCTTAACATATTTAGAACGGCAACAGACAATGCATGTCATTATTGACGAAAAATAAACACGTTGAGTAGAGATAATTATTTCACTGAAATAATACATTTGGGAAATTTTTATTTTTTAAAATTAATCATAATTTTTTCTGCAAAAAATGGTGATAAAACAGTTTCTGTTGAACTTTTGGCACAAAAACTTTTCAAATGATGACAGGTATTGATAATTTCGATTCCAAATATCTCGAAAACCATTACTCGTAGCGATTTTTACCAAGAGACCTTCTTCACGTAAAAAACGTCGTAAATGTGTATTTTTTTACTCAGTAGTTTTATACAGGTAGGGACAAAAAGTTATTACTCTTCAAACCAGTTAAAAAATATGTAGGTGGCGCCCTCTACTAGTAGGAGACATATTGACATCAAAATCAAATTTCTCATGTCAAAAAACTCCCAGACACCAATTTTCATCCAGATATTGACGTTACTTCAGAAATTATTTGGAAAAAATTGAAATAAAAATGAAACTTCTACACCCTGTATCTCCGAAACTAAGCATTCTAGAACATATATTTATACGAACTTTTTTACTTATTTTTATCTGCAGAATATGCTGCCGAAGTTTCCGGAATACAGTTCGGACTATCCTGTATATACTATATATTTCTAGAATTTTTGACAATTTGTTAAGTTATATAAAACACCTAGAAACTTAATATAAGCTAACTCCATGGCATTTTTACATGCTTTGTATTTGAAATTTTAAGATGATATCCCATCATTCTTAATATTTCCTCCACACATCCTATCTATATTCACTTAGATTTGTAGATTTCATGCAGAAGAAGCATCGTTATATTATGGCACGCTTATTAAGTAGATACGTAAATAAAATTTTGACAAATATTCAGTCGTAACACTGTTTAATTCAAAAGTACTTTCAACAGCTCATCAAACTTCCATCAGGATTTGTTTTTCTCACAGGGAAACATGTTTTCTTCCCGTCGACATAAACGCAAGAGTTGGTAAACATCCCGCAGGAGGAACTCTGAGTATAATAAACGTTTGGAGTCTTCTTGCCTGTTTGTAGGTTTTGCGAACCCGACTCTGACTTACTGACTGACACGAAATTGGGTAAAACTGAACCACTTTTAACCTTGTATTGGACGGGTTGGTAAATGGGTTGGTAGGAGAATCCAGTGCCGTAGTTTCCGTTTTTGTATAGTGTCCTTGTAGACACTGCGTAGATTGGTTTTTTGTAGAAGATTCTGCCGCTTCCTGGGGATAGTGTGACGCTCTGTGCTTGAGAATTCTTGCCAATGGCGTAGGTGTTGGGTCCATTGGCGATGGCCTTGACTTTTCCTCTGAAGCCTGGTGGAATTTGGTAGCCTGGCGATCCTAGAAAGTAATTGCATTTAGTAATTTCATAACCTTTATAACAAATGATTTGGTTTCGACGGATTTAAAAACCTGAAGGTGAGACAATTTAGGATTAATTCAAAACTGTGAATGAGTTCAGTATCTGAATATACAGGACTATCTGAGAAACATTCAAACGTTGCTGATGGATGATTCTCGGATGATTTGAAGGCAGGGGCGTAGCACTAAAAAGTAGCGAGGCACATTAGAAGAAAAATTTGATTACTTTTATATCCATAGTGTATACAAATAGGCCAGTAAGCGAGGATAAAAATAGGGTATTATTCTCGGTATTATTCTGAATTCTTGACACCCTCACCGATTGACGTGAAATTTTAACAGTGAATAGAGATATATGTAAGACACAAAAGTTACATAGTAGCGATGTGTGCTCCCACCCTGGGGGGTTTGCCACACCTTCTTGGGGGTGAAAACTAAATCACCCATTTTAATTGCAAAAACCAATAAAGGCATGAATTCGAATTAAAAAATGTTCTATATACATTTTTTCAGAAAATTAATATTTTCCAAGTTGAAAATGTTAATGTTTCTGCCAAAACTGCATATTTTTCTGCCATTTTTTATAAATAACTCGAAAACCTTGCGTTTTATTCCAGAACTTATATTAAGAAAAAATGAGGCTTTTGGAATAACGAATCGACTCATTTTGTGTTGATTACCATAGGTGTAATAATAGGCGAGTTATCACTCTGTAAAAGTAATTTTTTTATTTTTCGAAAACTAAAAATTACATTTTACCGTAAATTAATGGCGACAGAACACATATTTCGAAGAAAATGAATATGACTGTTTTTAAAGTACTTGAAAAGATCTTTTAAATGCCTTTTTAAAAGGTCTTTTTAAGTTTGTAGCTTAAAAACTCGCGGAGTTATTATAAAAATAAAATGGTCACCTCATTTTTTGGGAAAAAATTAGCAATAAAATCTATGACTAAAATCATAAAAATAAAAACTGTAGGATTTTTTAGGAAATTACACGAGCTACAAATTAACCTCTATAGTTGAACTGTCTTGAACTCTTCATTTTCACGAGATTTTTAGGTTTTAAGGGCTCAAAAAAGGTAGTTCTTACACGCAAGTCAAACTAAAAAACCGTCATATCTACACTGTTCGGTTTTTATATGATTCAAAATAAAAGATATATAAATTGTAAAATTAGTAATTTTTTAATGGCCATAATGCGTTCTTTCAAAATCATCGAACAACTAAATTATTTCCATAGATCCAGTAACGTACCCTGACTTTGATTTTTGAGAGCAAAAACTGAAACAATAAGTTGTCAAAAAAATCATATTACAGCTATATGTTTTATTTTGCATAAAAACGTTAACTAATAAGTTAGAATAATTTTAATTCTTCCCTAACTAAGTGGTTTTATCGCTAAATTTAACTAAAGCTAAGTACAACACAAATCTTAAATACGTGGACTATTATAACAACAAATACATCGTAAAAGACTATTTTGGTAGCATTCTGAACGAGAATTCAATGTGGAATTTGTTCCTATACTTTTGCGGCTGACTTTAAGCTTATTATGATTCTCCTTGGTCTTCAGTCAAATTCAACCACTCACACTTGCCCATGGTATGATGTAAATGTAAAAGAAATGGAAATTAAAGGATCATTCAGAACTATAAAAAGTATTACAGAAAATACAAATTTTTGGCAACAATCTGGAGGAAATATAACAAAAGCCATAGATTTTAGTAAGCGTTTTTGTTTGAAATATATTTTTTTTATTTTTTAAACTGTTGTTCAATGAACCATATAAAAAAGGGGCAATTATTTTTTAGAAAACTGTATAAACATACCTTTAATCATTGGCGACGAAGAAACACCTGTCTTAAAGTATATTCCCCCTCCTGAGCTTCACCTTTTGTTAGGTGTGGTTCAAAAACTATTTGATTGTCTTGAATTGGAGAATACCAATATTGCAACAGAATGGATAAAAAAGCGGGATTGAAACTAGATCATTATGGAAAATGTAACGGAAATAACGCCAGACAATTTTTAAAGAAAGTGGATATTTTGAAGACGATATCGCCCGGTAAAGAATCCTATTCAAAATTTTGACAAGCAAAAACCTAAACATATAAAAACCGAACAGTGTCTACAAAATAAAGAGATATACAGAAAATTAAAAGAGAGCAAAAATATTGCTAAAAAAGACCTTCAATAGTACTCTGTTGCATTTTTACGTATCTTGCTTAGTTTTTGAGCTCGTTTTTGAGATATGTAAAAAAAATTAAAATTTTTTAAAAAATAAAAAAATCATTATTTTCAACTTTTTTCCAATCACCTTCCAATTTCCTTTTATCACCTTCACAGAGTGATAACTCGGCTATTATTATACCTACGTTAATCAACAAAAAATTAATCGTTTAGTTATTCCAAAAGCTTCATTTTTACTTCATATGAGTTTTGCGATAAAACGCAAGGTTTTCGAGTTATTTTTAAAAAATGACTGAAAAATGTGCATTTTTAAGATGAAAAATCATTTTTTTCAATCGTGAATAACTAGGAAAATATTAATTTTCTGAAAAAATGTCATAGAACATTTTTTGCTTAGAATTCATCTTGCAATTAAATGCGTGTCATATTTTTCACCCCCGAGAATAATAATTAGTCTTGAAGAACTACAAACACGTATCACTATTAACAATACAGAAATCTATTTGTTTTCTTTGCGTTGTGGCTTACCTGGAATACTTTGCCCTGGATGAAGAATAGTACCATCTTCCGGAAAATCTCCTTTGCTCTGATGCACCGTTGCATCCACATCCTCCAACGGATCAATTATTATATGCTGCTTCTGAGTCGTGGACGTCTGACTCACCACTTTAGGCGATTTCTTCTCGACCACCGCGGGTATAACCAGGTTCCTCTGCGACGGCGATCCTGTAGGATTTAGATCTGCGTCATCCTCTTGCGTCAGGTCGTCGTTGTAGTCTGCGTAGTCGTCCGTGTCTCCGTAGTCGGGCAGATTTGCTAGCGTTGTGCTTGTAGTTGTTGTAGGTGGTTCTGTAGCTGATGGTGCTTCGGCTGGTAGCGGCAAGTGGGTGATGTTGGCTTGCTCCACCTGCATATCGAAGAGGTTCTAAAAGGAAAGTTTGCGTAGTGTTTGTGTGTCGTGTATGTATGAAAAATTAGCAGATGAGGATATTTTTTATCAATATATCTACAGGGTGGCGTACTTCTTTCGCCTGGGTTGATTGTACGAAAACGGAAAGATGTAGAAACTAAATATTTTATGGATACATGTGGGACGGCAATGTGCACAATTTATAATTATTTTTAAATGTACAGGGTATATTAGAACTAAGATCCACACCAAAGTTATATTTTTTCTTATGGAACACCCGGTATTTTATTTCATATTTGGATCCTTGTACACAAAATAAAGCATTTATCGTAAGGGTTAAATATGTAACAAACCACACTACCAGCTCTGCGAAATAGGACAAGTAGTTTTTCAAAAGAATGCTTATCTTTAAGCATAAGCCCTTGAGGCCAAGAAGCAATTTTCCTCACAAATTAAAATCACTAGTAACATATCCATTCCTACCGCCAGCAGATACTGCTTTGTTTTTCTTGATAAAATAATGAATACTTACTTATTAATTTATTGTAGGTAAATTTAAATAAACTGTTATAAATCTAAATAATAATGTCCATAAACTATTATCGATTGTAAAAATAGTTACTAACTGTCACTAGAAAATTGCCATAGCGACAAGCCATCTTTATTGATTGCCATTTTATTGAAAAATCGCTTTTTATTCAAAATCTGAGCTATGACGATAAGTATAGGAATCCCTGATATAGTTTGGAAGAGCATTTGAATCTGTTTCGATTTATTTAAAAAAATACAGGGTGTTGCATTTCAAATAACGAAGTTTTTATGTAAAATAGATCAGTAATTTTTGGTACCCCTGTATAAATTTAAGGAAGCAATAACATTTTTCAGTGAGGTTTATTTATTTACCTTGAAACCCTTTTGCTGCTTATGCTAATCTGGACGGGGCTTACTTTGTTTACGCGGAATCCGAACCGCGGTCCTCGGCCATATCATTGTCAATGGCCTATCGATTTAACGAGTGTATATATAATCGAATCTTACTCACGAGATATCCGATCCCATCCGGCCTCGAACCGACGTGAATGAGCAGTGTGTGTTAATAGATTGTTCCACACTTTAGGATTATTTAATGATATCTGTAATACTTTCCTGCTTTCTTTATTTGCATATTTACTATCCGAAACTATACTCTTTGTTATAGCAAATTGCTGGAATTCAGTTTTTAGTTATTTGTCAAGAATATTAGCTGTTACTCGTAAAAATATACGGCTCGTGCATAATGAATATGTAAGTGTACTGATAAAATAGGACTTAAAACTATACCTCTCTACTTGCATCCGATTGCGTCAAATCCGTCTTAGACTCCACTTTCTTCGGCACATTAACAGCACTATTCTGACTCTGCGACTGCCCGTTATAATTCACCTTAGACACTGTGAAATTAATCGGTTTAAAGAACCCACTGGGCTCAGTCAGATTCCTAATAGCAGTAGATCCGGATCCAGCCTGTGCAGCGCCTTGGTACTTGATGCCGTACCGGAAGTGGCCTTGGATCTGCGTTTGCGTCATGCCGGATCGGGTACCGCTTTGTGCTGCCGCGGTACCACCGCCGGTGAACGGGGATTTTTGGGTGTCTTTTTCGGACTCGTCGTAGGGAGTGAATCCGATTTGAGCTTGGGACGATGTGGCTCCGGGACCGTTGGCTTGAGCGTCGGCTAGTCCGCCTTTTTCGCTGGCTCGGACTTGGGTTTGGGTTCCGTGTTGAACTCCTGTAAAAATACAACGATGTAGAGTACGATTCTTCAAAATGGAATCTGGAAATTTTTGAATACGACCATATTTACGTTATACCGAGTGACTGGCTAATAGCTGTACTTTTATTAGAATTTGGAAGAATTTTTTAGAAATTTATCAAGCATAGCGTTAAATACTTAGTAATGTAATGTAATGTTAATAATGTAAATACTTGGTGGTATTGGAACTGTATTCCGGAAACTTCGGCAGCATATTCTGCAGATCAAAATAAGTAAAATATTTCGTATAAATGTATGTCCTAAAATGCTTAGTTTCGGATATACAGGGTGTAGAAGTTTCATTTTTATTTCGATTCTTTCCAAATAATTTCTGCAGTAACATCAATATTTGGATGAAAATTGGTGTCTGGGAGTTTTTTGACATGAGAAATTTGATATTGATGTTAATATGACCCCTACTAGTAGAGGGCGCCACCTACATATTTTTTAACTGGTTTGAAGAGTAATAACTTTTCGTCCGTTCCTGTATAAAACTACTGAGTAAAAAAATATACATTTACGACATTTTTTACGTAAAAAATGTCTCTTGGTAAAAATCGTTACGAGTATTGCTTTTCGAGATATTTGGAATCGAAATTATCAATACCTATCATCACTGACATAGATTAATCATGTTGACTAAATAGTTATTATACTGAGATCATAAATTTGAAAGTTTTTGTGGCAAAATTTCAACAGAAACTGTTTTATCATCATTTTTTTGCAGAAAAATTTATGAATAATTTAAAAAAATAAAAATTTCCCAAATTTATTATTTCAGTGAAACTATCTACTCAACGTTTTTTTTTTCGATTTACTATTTCCATTCTAAATATCTTGAGAACGGTTGTTCGTAGCGATTTTCACTAAGAGATATTTTTTGCGTAAAAAGTCGCAGAGATGTATATTTTTTCCCACTGTAGTTTTATACAGGTACGGATAAGAAGTGATTACGCTTCAAAACAATTAAAACATATGTAGGTAGCGCCCTCTACCAGTAGGAGTCATATTGATAACAAAATCAAATTTCTCAAGCCAAAAAACTCCCAGACACCAATTTTCATCCAAATATTGACGTTACTTCAGAAATTATTTCGGATCACCCTGTATACAAACAAGGCTAGTAGTTTCAGGATTTACTTCAGACTTGATAATAGTTAGTAATACATCCGACACGCAAGTTTTGTTTGTTAAAATTAGTATGATCAATGAAGAACAGGAAATTATATTAGTATCAATACCTCACCGTTACTTTAACACATTCAAAGAAATGTATACAAATATATTTTCCTAATTACCTGAAGTCTGAGCCGAAGACAACGTATCCCCCGTTCCCGAATCCAACGTCACCTGCGCCTGAGACTGTCCAGCACCTCCTCGACCTTGAGCACTGCTCTGAGCGCCATCTTTACCACCAGCGACCTGAGTCAAAGCCCCTCGTTTACCATCGTCAGACCCAGCAGAAGCACTGAAGGAACCCGATCCGGAATAAGTACCGGATACCTGAGACTGCGAGGTACCGCCTTGGAATTTGCCGTGCGCCTGCGCCTGTGCTATGGTTTCGTTGCTGGTCTGTTTAACTGATGTTTGGACTTGAGAGTCTGCGTCGTCGGTGGTTTCGGCTGGTACCCATTTTCCGTCGATCCATTGGCCTGCGCCAATACCTGTATAGTAAGTTACAAAGTTATTGGTGATTAGAGTGTAAATGTTGTTGGACTACCTGCACCTCCAGCAACATACTGGCCTGGTGGTACAACTCCTTGGCCTCCAGCACCGGCTTGCCCTGGATATAAACCTTGTGTCCCTCCTACCCCAGTTCCTATAATTAAAAAATAGTCTCTACAGGATGTTTCAAAACACATGTGCCATCTCTTGTGGGGAGATTCCTCACGTAAACATAAAGCTGAATTTACATTTACGAGTTCCCGCATCCGAGTTTTGCTACTTTGACGCAAACCCGAAATTGTAATCATCTACTTGGATACATTTATCACGCGGATCCGTACTAGTATTGAAGTAGGGAACAAACCGACTTGTTGGTTACTCGTAAGCTTATTTATGGAAATAAAAATGGCGGAAACTAGATTTTCCACTGAACAGATCGAACAATTTATTGATATTTATCGATCTTTTGACTGCTTATGGGATGTAAGATGTAGAGAGTATCGTGATATTAATAAAAGAAATAATGCCTATGAAACAATAGCCGATATAATGAATATTAGTATAGAACAACAAATTATTTTCAATGCCATATGAGTTTCATGATGAGGGTTCGTTCACTTGCAGATGTGGTTTTACCCAAATACTTCTAAACCTACCAATTTTATTCGTATTAAATTGCTTCTTTTTTAACAGCATTAATATTATTAAAGCTACTGCCACTCGCTTTTTTTAGAGGCAGCCATTTTAAGGATGAAATCTGAGAAATAACTATATAGAGCGTAAACAGGAACAATCCAAGTCGTAACAAAACTCGGATCCGAGAACTCGTAAATGTAAATTCAGCTTAAGATTTATTTTTTATATCAACATAGGGTCCGATTCTGCTGTGTATTGTAGCTAAGGGTGTTATAGTCTTAAATTTTTTTTCGGTTTATTATACTTTTCTTCCGAGTACTTTTAGCGTTCCGAATGAAATTTTTAGGGTAAAAGTTACTATAAATGCGATATATTTTAAAGCTAAAAAAGTGTCGACATATTCACCAGGACGTGCATGTGGGTTATCACGGGAATATTTTTCTAAAAAAGCATGTACGCCAATGACTTTTTTTTCGACTTTGCAATAGCAAATATTACAGGTCATCCATGTCAATCAAATCTCCGAGAGGCGGAAGATCGCCAACGATGGAAGATCAAAATCACCAACTGCACATAGCCATAATGTCACGATTCTTCAGACATGAAGAGACGACGAAGAAGAAGAAAACTTTTGAAAGTTAGGTTTTTTTAATTATTTTAAATACCATTATTTTTGTATTTGAAATTGCTGTAGGTTGGACTAATAGTAATAATATTTAATACCATAAACTAGGTGAAATATATAATTTATTAATTTTATTTTAATTTTAATTTTATTAATTATTGTGATTAATAAAATTGCGTTTATCTCATCAAGGAGGCCGAATTCGACAAAATATCAAGAGGTAACTTTTAATTGGCATTAAACGGCCTACACAATTTTGATATCAAAAGAAAAACGTCAGTGGCGCACCTTTTTTTTTCGAAAAATATTCCAATAATAACCCATATGCACATCCTTAATGAATTTATCGACAGTTTTTTATCACGTCCCTGGTGAATATGTGGACACTTTTTAGCATTAAAATATGTAGCACGTATAGTAACTTTTACCCTCAAAATTTCATTCGAATCACTAAAAGTACTTGGAAGAAAATTATAATAAATCGAAAGATTATTTAGATTTTAACACCCTGCAGCTACAAAACAAAGCAGAATCGGACCTATGTTAATATTAAAAAAAAATCTTATTTTTACGTGAGGAATCTCCACACGAAAGATGGCACATGTTTTTTGAAACACCCTGTATAAATTAATATTACCTGCACCTCCAGCCACGTACTGGCCTGGCGGTATACCTCCTGGACCTCCTCCAACTCCTGCTTGTCCTGGATACAACCCTTGAGCGCCACCTGTTCCAGTTCCTAAAAACACATCAATTAAATTAGTCTTCTATGATAGCTATACTACATGGTGCATTGAAATGGAATGGACGATTTTGCGAAAATTGTTTTGTGTTTTTATGCTTTTTTCTTACTAATCTACAGTATGGTCCCCGGATTGTCTTTATAAGAGGAAAACCTTTTTTATTATTGATATTTTGAGAAGAATGCATTCTTCATAAAAAATTTGTTTGTTCTAAAATGGCCAATCCCGTTTATACTTTTTCAAATTTCCATACCGTTTTAGAGAAAATTAAAAAAAAACTTGAAAATACAAATGAATTTTTCTAGTCCTAAAAATCAAAAGGCTGGTAATAGCATTTTGATTTCATTCTTCGATAGATGATACAAAATGATTTTCGAAAGAAATCAGTACATGTATATTATTTCGTATATTTTTCATTTTATTGATCTTATGGAAAGCACTGTTCATTAAAATGTTGTATCCTATGTTATAGAGCTTGTTTCTCTCTACAATTTCCTGTCTCACAATGTACCGTTTGTGTCCGGGAAGGGTTCATAGTTTCATAGTTGTCGATTTTCGAAAGAAATCAGTACATGTATATTATTTCGTATATTTTTCATTTTATTGATTTTATGGAAAGCACAAAAATTAAAATGTTGTATCCTATGTTATAGGGCTTGTTTCTCTCTACAATTTACTGTCTCACAATGTATCGTTTGTGTCCGGGAAGGGTTCATAGTTTCATAGTTGTCGATTTTCGAAAGAAATCAGTACATGTATATTATTTCGTATATTTTTCATTTTATTGATTTTATGGAAAGCACAAAAATTAAAATGTTGTATCCTATGTTATAGGGCTTGTTTCTCTCTACAATTTCCTGTCTCACAATGTACCGTTTGTGTCCGGGAAGGGTTCATAGTTTCATATTTGTCGATTTTCGAAAAAAATCAGTACATGTATATTATTTCGTATATTTTTCATTTTATTGATTTTATGGAAAGCACTGTTCATTAAAATGTTTTATCCTATGTTACTTGTTTCTCTCTACAATGTCCTGTCTCACAATGGACCGTTTGTGTCCGGGAAGGGATCATAGTTTCATAGTTGTCGATTTTCGATAGAAATCAGTACATGTATATTATTTCGTACATTTTTCATTTTATTGATTTTATGGAAAGCACTGTTCATTAAAATGTTGTATCCTATGTTATAGTGCTTGTTTCTCTCTACAATTTCCTGTCTCACAATGTACCGTTTGTGTCCGGGAAGGGTTCATAGTTTCATTGTTGTCGATTTTCTAAAGAAATCAGTACATGTATATTATTTCGTATAATTTTTAATTTTCATTAACGTCATATTTTTCCTATTAAAGTATCACATTTTCGGGTAACTATTATGACTTTTTTCGTAGTAAACATTTTGTGCTTCTTTAACATTTTAAAACAGCAAAAAATATGACGTTAATTATAATTCTATTAATAATCTATCAAAGATTGAAAACGAAATTATATTACCATAGAAACGCGTTTAGATTTTTAGGGCTTAGAAAAAATTCAACTATGTATATTTTCACTTTTTTTTAATTTTCTCTAAAACGGTATGCAACTCTCCCAAAATGTTAATAATAAAAAAGTTTTTCCTGTTGTAAAGACAATACGGGGACGTACTGTATAACTACATAATGGCATAATAATATAATATGATCAATAATATTAATTTTTTTTCTAAATTACCCCGTATAAGATTATTGAATTTATTCTTCTAGAAAAAATGTGTGAGAGAAAAATAAATACCGGGTTTCAAGATTAAAATATTTTTAATTATACCTGGACCTCCAGCGCCGTACTGTCCTGGTGTAATAACTCCTTGACCTGGACCACCAGCTTGTCCTGGATATAACCCGTGAGTGCCATCTCCAGTTCCTATAAGTTAATATTTATTATAATTCCTCCCTTCTCATTATTATAGTAATTATTTTACAAGGATTTCTATCTCTTTAAAAATCATCTGCACTAAAATTATCTTCTTCTTCAAGACATTACCTTCATTACTTTTTATTGCAATATTATGTTTTAATTAAATTACATAGTTTAGCGACAATTATATGGTTATGTATCGACCAACTAACTTTAGATTAATTTAGTTATTACTTCGACAATACAAAAAATAAGATTCAACAATTCTGTTTGAACGAAATTCCACATTATTGTGGCACATTTCTTGTTACAATAGTGTGGAATAGAATTAACCGTCTATTAAAAATATTAATTGAATGGGGAATATTACCTGGGCCTCCTACGGCATACTGTCCTGGTGCTCCTGGTACCCCACCAGCTTGTCCTGGATATAACCCTTGGGCTCCTCCTCCAGTTCCTATAAACCGATATTCCCTGTTATAATAGTTAGCCTGTTATCATTATTATATTTTTAAATACCTGGATAACCAGTACCAGGGCCCCCTGGGTAACCACCAGGTCCTTGAGGGTATCCACTAGGCGCTCCAGGGTAGCCTGCGCCAGGTGCTCCAGTGTAGCCTACGCCAGGTGCTCCAGGGTATGCCCCAGGGGCTCCAGGATAACCACCAGAAACTCCAGGGTAACCACTGGGAGCTCCACTACCAGGTGCTCCAATGTAACCACCAGAAGCCCCAGGATAACCCGTTTGGCCACCAGGGATTCCAGGATAGCCAGTGCGGCCGTCAGGTCCGGCAGGTGCTCTAGGATAACCGTCTTGAGATCCGGGGTAAGTACCAGGTGCTCCAGGATGAACCCCAGGTGCTCCGGGATATCCAGGTGGTACACCTGGACGTCCATCGATTGCTCCAGGATACCCACCTGGACTTGTTGCTCCGGGATAACCACCAGGAATTTTAGCATACCCATCTTGCCCACCAGGATAACCGCCATATACATCGGGGCTTTGTGGTCCTCCAGGATAGCCACTTGGTGGACCAGATACTCCAGGCTGAGTGCCAGGGCCACCAGGTACTAGTCCACTTCCGGCACCGGGATATCCACCTGTCGTACTCTCGGGTCCTCTACCTCCAGGATAACGTCCCCCGGGTTGGCCTGGATATCCACCATTTTCGGGTACAGTTCCCGGGTATCCACCCGGGTATCCTCCAGGATAAGTAACTCCTCTTCCGTATTCTGGGTAGGATCCAGGTACTCCTGGATATCCGGGGGTACCAACACCTGGTCTCAGTGTACCTGGTGGTCCCACTGGCAGTCCAGTTCCCACTCCAGATCCATATTGACCGCCAACTCCAGGTTTTAACAATTCACCAGGTATATGCTCATAACCAGGTTTACCAGTAATATCTTTACCAGTTTGATCTGACGTTCCGTATAATCTTCCGCCGCTTCCAGTTTGAAAAGTGCCTTGAAATGTACCAGCAAATCGTCCAGATTGTCCAGCGTGACTTTGATAATGTCCGTCTAGTTGGCCACCAAAAGTTCCTCTATCTGTAACATAGTTAATCAAATTCAAAGATACATGAAAAATCGACTTTTTTTCCTTTGTACTATGAAAAAAAGGTTGGTAGACACTTCAAAAAAATTCTCTCTAAGTATGAGCTCTTAATTTTAATAGGAAGGTCCTCCGCCTTTAAGTTTTTTATTTTTTCTTTGTTATTAGGAAGAAAAATTCATATCTCGGTATATAGAGAGATGATTTTTTCTTTCTAATAATAAGGAATGAAAGGCGGAAGACCTTCTTATTAAAATTAAGAGCTCATACTTGTAGAGAATGTTTTTGAGGTGTCTGCCAACCTTTTTTTCATTTTTTTGGCCCACCCTAATGAAAATACTAAGAATATTTACCTCCTCCGCTAATTCCCTCACCAGATGCACTTGGTACATAACCAGGTCCACGTATACCACCAACAAAGCCAGGCTGCCCTGCGCTTCCTCCTGTATAACCAGGTTGTCCTACACCTCCACCAGTGTATCCTGGCTGCCCTGCATATGCTCCAGGATACCCCGGCTGTCCTATACCTCCAGGTTGTCCTGCAGGACCTCCACCGTAACCAGATTCTCCTGCAATGCCTCCACCATATCCAGGTTGTCCTGCAATACCTCCGCCATATCCAGGTTTTCCAGCTGCTCCACCACCATAACCAGGTTGTCCTGTAGCACCTCCGCCATAACTAGGTGGTCCTGAAGCCCTTGCGTCATAACCAGGTTGCCCTGAAGCTCCTCCACCATAAGTAGGTTGTCCAGGAGTTCCGGCGCCATAACCGGGTTGTCCTGCAGCACCTCCACCATAACTAGGTTGTTCTGACGCTCCTCCGCCATAACTAGGTTGTCCAGGAGTTTCTACGCCATAACCAGGTTGTCCAAGTCTTCCATCGCCATAACCAGGTTGCCCTGCAGCAGCTCCACCATAGCCAGGTTGTCCAGATCTTCCATCGCCATAACTAGGTTGCCCTGCAGGGGCTCCACCATAGACAGGTTGTCCAGGTGTTCCTGCGCCATAACCAGGTTGTCCAGGTCTTCCATCGCCATAACCAGGTTGCCCTGTAACAGCTCCACCATAGCCAGGTTGTCCAGGTGTTCCTGCACCATAACCAGGTTGTCCAGGTCTTCCATCGCCATAACCAGGTTGCCCTGCTGCAGCTCCACCATAGCCAGGTTGTCCAGGTGTTCCTGCACCATAACCAGGTTGTCCAGGTCTTCCATCGCCATAACCAGGTTGCCCTGCAGCAGCTCCACCATAGCCAGGTTGTCCTGCAGCACCTCCACCATAGCCAGGTTGTCCAGGTATTGCGGCACTTGGTTGTCCTGGGACTCCCCCTCCATAACCAGGTTGTCCTGTACCTCTTCCTCCAGTATAACTAGGTTGACCAGGGCCTCCTGGATAACCAGGTTGTCCTGTACCGCCTCCGCTGCCACCAGGTCTTCGTATTTCACCAAGATCTTCAGTTTCACCGATTCTGCCTGGGTACCGGGATCCATAATATTTATCTGGTGGGACATAAGTACCACCACGGCCGTATTGAAGAGTTTGGTCTTGAAAATCTGTACCGAAACATTCTCCGCAATCTACCGGTGAGCTTTGACTTTGGGCTTGGCCAATTCCACTAGTGCCACCTGTCGTATAAAATTTTGAATAGAAGAATTAAGTATATAATATGACTACGTGGTATATCGGCAATGTGATGGATTAAAGTAAGTCCTATCGGTTCAATAGGATTGAAATTTGCCGATACACACGTAGTCTCTAAGTATTTACTTACTGACTACTGCTTTGGTTCCGTTTAAACTGCTTTCCGCTTCTGCCTTGCCAGGCTGTCCATTGCTGTTTCCGAAGTTTAGATATTGTGACTGAGTTTGACCTCGAACTTTGCCACTGAAATAATGTCGGGTCGATCTCTTTCTGCGTCGCTTTTTTGATAGTTCTTCGACGATCGGTACATCATTTTGCATGTAGACACTTGTCTCGGTACTTCGAGAATCGGTGTTCTGGATCAGGTACGTCGGGAATCCTCGACAGAAGTCGTAGATTCGTTCTCCACCGACTCGCCATATCTGAAAAATAACTTTTAACAGTAGTTTTTTGTATGTGTTACAGCAAAAGTAATTCTATAGGGTGGCTCAAAAAAGTGTGAGTGGATCGGGATGATTTTTTTTAAATGGAATAACCTGTATATTATTGCACTTTACATATCCTAAGATATGAGTAAATTAATTTCACCAAATCAAAACTATATTAGGTATTTACTTTAGATGGTCTATACTTACTTTACTATAAATATTGTAATCTTAAATCATACAGGGTGTTCAAAATTCTACGCTAAACTTTCTAAAATATAAAATAATTTTTCTTTGTTTCTTTACATTGAACACCCTGTATATTTTTATTATTAGATAGAGAGTCAAAAAATAATTTTTTTGTATTTAAAGTATTTTAAAATGTTTAATGGTTTCGCAGATAAAAGCAGTATTATTTCATATGGCTCTTTCAACGGTAAAATACGAGAGAAAAATCATTGGGTGGATTTGATAAAAATTTATTGTGAAAAATGCTATATGAAATATAAAACTGCGAATATCTGCGAAACCGTTAAAAATTTTGAAATACTTTAAATACAAAAAGTGTTAATTGAAAATCTATTGAAAAAATAATATATAGGGTGTTCCTCTAAAAAACGAACATTTTTTTTATATTTTAGAAAGAATAGAATTTTAAACATCCTGTATGATATACAATTACAATATTAGTAGCAAAGTAAGTACAGACCATCTAATGTAAATACCTAATAGAGTTTTGATTTCAGGACAGTTCTTGTATTTTTAATAAATTTTTTTAAGAAAAGCTGAAAAGTATGTATTTTTTATTTATGTATTAATATTTCTGGAACGATTAAAATATATTTACTCATATCTTAGGATTATGTAGAGTGGTCTGAAAGGAAGCCAAAATGGAATAATATACAGGGTGCTCCATTTAAAAAGCATCATCCCAATCTGCTCACCTTTTTGAGCGACCCTATAAAAGTTAAAATATTTTTCTGAAATACATTCTAGCACATACTTTATGTTTGCACTTAAACAAAATTCTCAAGTTTTTTATTCTAGGAGCTACAGATGCCCGACGCACTATTGCCGGACCCTGTATTTTGTGATAATAATTATTATATTCGTCTCTAATTCTATAGGGGTTTGGTTTGGTTTGGTTCAAAAAAGTAAAGAAATTTAAAAGAATCGAATGAATCAGTTATGATAACATTTTTTCAATCATTTTTTACTTAGATCATTTTTTTAATCTATACTCTGTATATAATCTTACAAAATATCACTCTTCAAATTCCTCTTTTTTCTAAAACTGTTTATTGCAGGTGAGGGTCTTCAATGTAATTCCCTATCTTTAATCAAAATACAATAAAAAAAGTATCTTTGTAAATTTCCTGGTACTTTTTAGATAACCCTTGTATATTATCAAATTTAATGTAATACCTCTCGTTTAGATAGCTTCTTGCTTACGTTCACCGGTTTCAGATTGTTCGAACGACTTTCAAACTGAGCCGATTTTTGACTCAAAAAACTTTCCTCGTTGGTAAGGATCTCTAACAGACATTTTGATTCTATCAGGTCTTTGTAGGCTACGACTTTCTGAAAATAATCCTTTAGAACAAACAGTGTTACTAAATAACATTTCGGTGACCATAGGACATAAGTTGTTATGTTGTAACGTGTACTACCAGGCTTGACTTATGCATGCGAGACTTGGACACTTCAAACGGACATCATAAGGAAGGTGCAGGTTGCACAACGCTCAATGGAACGAAATATGCTAGGAATAACCATGAGAGATCGTAAAAGGAATAGATTGGATACGATAAAAGACGTTTCAATAACTTTCTAGATCTGCATCTCTATCTTTTCACTATTTTCTGTTGAATTTCTATTCTATAATGTCTAGAATGTAACTGATTTGCAATGGACGTGACGTGAGTTCTCAGTTGTAAAAGATGGCTAAGTTCGGATGGCCAAACGGAATTTATTTATAATTTAATTGTCTGCATTTTTTTCGCCAATTTTTTTATTTATATTATATCTGATATTTTAAAATTTATTTTGCTATTCGGGGCGAAGACGAATCAAACAAATCAGAGATCATTAATATCGGTCCAGCCGTTCTTGAGTTATAAATGGTGTAACTAATCCTCCGTTCTTTTATTTATACAGGATGTAAAAAATACTATATAGGATGTATAAAATAGAATGTTTGATGTATAATTAGTAGTAATTTGAATGGAGTGTATTAAATCAATTCACAATGTAGTTACATCATACCAGGTGTGATCTAAAATTGTGTTAAAAAAAAAGATGTTTAAAGTGAGAGCTGTCAGGGCTGTAAATACTATAAGAGCTCTAACTTTCTCAGAACGAATTTTTTAGAACCTATGTTCATAGTGTTGCGGACCCGTGTGGACTCGACCTAACTATATGTCCCGCCCCCAGATGACCTTAATATCGCATTAAAGAATAGACACTGTGATGATTCATTCGAACGTTCGAGAACAATCGAGTACCAGTGGAATGGAGTAGTACATACGAGAACATTTGAAACCTTCTCTATGCACCAAATGATCTATGGATTATTCGAGAACTCTTTAGCTGTGGGTATAAAATGCGACGGCTGGGGCCTGAGGAGCAGGGGGGTGACAGTGAAATAGGAAAATTGGAAACAGTCATTAGTGTCATTCCTGTCATTCTCCTCACGACAAGTATGGCCGCCTAGACAAGGACAGCATTGTTTTTGTCTAACTATTGTCTAACTTCACAGTTTAGAATTGACAGATTTCAGTTTCAGACACAACTTCAGATTTGTTCTAGAACAAATTCGAAAATATTCGACGCCATTTTAATTCATTCCGTTTAGTTTCGTTTTGGAAGTTCAATTTAATATTTCGGCTGAAATTTATAAATATAAAGGTAATAAAGTATATAAAATATATATTACATGAAGAATCCTGGAGAAAATGACGTTTCTGCAGTAGTAGGTATGTCCCATGTATATGAAAAATAGGTAGTAAATAAACACTGTTTTTACATTTTTTAGATGCAAGAAAATGGTGTTATAATCTCTTTGATCGGCGATTTTTTTGAAAATGGAAACAATTTACAGCAAGGTAAGATCATTTTTAACTATAGCCAACATTAGTTATCTCCAGTATGTGCGACTTATTGTCAATAATGCAACAAATCGGACTGATAATCTGATTATGTTATCCGACTAAAAGTCTTTTTGCTTCTTTTTGATTTATAAGCCAGGTCTCTTTGGGAATAATGGACGTTTTTTTAAACAGTATATTTATATTTTATACCTATTGATATTTTTACATTGTTAATTTTAGTATAAAAAAATTTGTTTTTCTGTTTTCAGGTTTTTGTATAAGGCTCCCGTTTTCATGTTCCTGTGACCGTTTTCTGTCCTTGAAGTCTGCGAATACGTGTGTTTATTTACAAATTAATGTAAGTCATGCTTATACCTTAACTAATTTACGTTAAAACTACATGTAATTAACTAATTGGTATTGAAACAATACAATCCTCTATATTTTTATATTTATTTAGTCACGTTGTTCCATATTTCAAATAAATATATGTGAATAAATTATTTTTTGGTTTTATTTATGAAAAGAAAAAATACAAAATACATTTGAACTGAAAGAGGGCCCGCCATTGAATAACCGGAAACGGAAATGAAAATTAAGCCTTCATGTCCTTATCATGTCAACCTGTCAATTGGAAAATTAGTTCCCCAGACGACAACGAAGGCTTTCGGTGGCGTATCGTGTTTCCACGATTTAACACAGAGTTGACACTTCTTTCTAGTTAATTATTCTATGCTGAGGAGGACAGAAAAATAAATAGACGAGTACAGCTGCCGCGCTAAATTCAAAATAAATTATTTCTAGATAAATAGTGTGTAAATAGTTCTTTAAGTCTTTTAATCGTTATTGTTACTTAGTGTAAATAATTCTATCCACACGGAACCGACGAAAAACGTAACAATAGGAATATTTTCTCTTATTTTTTTATCTGTAGTATCATCATCAACTGGAATATTTTATTTATCCTTTACAGCCACAATGAAGCCAGTGACAAAGAGCCATATTATATGAAGGTATCAGTCTCCAAGTTATTAGACTCTTTGAAAAGCATTATTAACCTGGAGATCATAAAAGGACCACAATAGATCTGTGGAACAACGCAGTGGAACAGGTGGGCGGCCAAAAATCTATTCTAAGAAAAATTTACCGATGATGATTTTTGGTAAATTTTGGTATTTTAGAAATAAAAAATTTCGAGTATTATTGAGAAATATCTTTTAAAGAGGAAAAACTTTTTTATTATTGACATTTTGAGAAAAATGTATTTATTCTTCATAAAAAAAATTGCCTATTCTAAAATGGTTTCCATACCGTTTTAGAGTAAATATAAAAAAAACATGAAAATATAGTTGCATTTTTCCAAATGAATTTTATGTGAAGTCCTAAAAATCAAAACGCGTTTCTATGGTACATAATATAATTTCGGTTTCATTTCGGCCTTTTTAAAAGAGCAAAAAATATGACGTTAATTAAAATTCTATCAATAACAATTTATCAAAGGATGAAAACGAAGTTATATTACCACAGAAACGTATTTTGATTTTTAGGACATTCATTTTTAGACAATTCAACTAGATTTTCATGTTTCTATTAATTTTCTCTAAAACGGTATGGAAATTTGTAAATGTATAAACACGATTAACTATTTTAGAACAAGCAAAAATTTTTATGAAGAATACATATTTCTTATTTCTTGAAATGTCAATAATATAAAAGTATTTGCTCTTGTAAAGACAATCCGGGGACCGGGGATATACTGGATAAGCAGCGGTCAAGGCAGAAACAGTTAGTTTTTTAACCTAACCAACAGAAATAAACCCATCACATGGGACATGGGTATAAACATTATTTCTGGAAGAGATGTTACTTTTTACATTTTTTTGGGAGGGATTTGTTTATACTAACCAGAATTTAAGAACAGAATTATAAAATAGGTTAATATTTAGATAATTTATCAACATAACAACTTATAATACCCTGTGGCCACATATTTCTGGATACCTACTGTGGAGTAATCGAACAAGAGCCGTGGTTTCTCGTTGCGGGTTGCATTGTCGAAACTTTTTTCGATCACATTCTGAAAAAGAAAGAAGATAAGACGACAATTATAAATATCATGTGAAATCCGTTAAATCGTTACGAATAGTAATGGTCTATAAATAAGTTAGGATAAATATCTATCTAGGACATGTCAATTCATTTGAACCGTACTATTCGATGCCGTTTAGTAAAATTTGAGATAATTCATCAGAAATTTGTTTTCGATTCATAAAGTCTTGTTCATTAATCTTTGTATACAGGGTTTCTTTGAAGTTTTGTATTATTGTGGTGATATTTAGATCGTATTATACCTTAATTAGTTAAGATACTCGACACAAATTTGTTATATTTTAGTCTGTCCAAGAAATACCTACTGACTGTGACAAATGTTATTTTATTTCATAAGTAAATTATTTTTATTAATTTATGAATGTCGTCTTTTTCTATTAATTTATGAATGTCCACTTTATCCGGGCTATCTGATAATATTTTTCCTTTAATTTTTTGTATAGACCTTTCAACATAAATATCTTGTACTTCCGAATGCAGCTTGTACTCTTTGTTGTAAATGTTGTGGTGTATTGATTTCACTTTTACAAATGATGGAACCTCGCTGACCATTATACTGCTCCACCATTTCCAATCCATCTTCCGGGGAAATTATTTGATTGTTATTTGAGTTTGCGTGTTCAATGATTTATCACACGTCATCGTTAAGTTTTAAAGCTCATCAATATTGTTGCGATGAATAGATTAATAGTTATTTTTTATACAAGACGATAAAATGGTATTTTATTGTCGACCGAAAAGATTAATTCACGAGCGATGAAATCGCGAGTGAATTAATTTCGGGAGGCGATAATGCAATTTTATCGTCGTGTATAAAACAATATTTTTTTCCATAGCGAGTTACGTTTTAAAAAATATTCAGAAATTATTATTTCAAGGAATTTATTACGTACGAGTAGAAAAAATATTGTGCTGGGTTGGCGTTGGTTTCTATGTAATTTGACAAATAAATAAAGCTGTCTCTTTAGTTGTCAGTTTTGAGTCAATATTTTTTAATTCTTTTTCGTGTCGATTGGTGATTGAATTGGAGCCGGAAATGGCTCAAAACGAAATAAGTAAATTACCAACAGATATTCAGGCCGAGGTGCCAAACACCATATCCAAACTACTTCCATTTGAATCCCGAATAACTTATGAAAAGGAATGGAAAATTTTTCAAAAATCGAAGCAATTAAAAAACGTGCGAGAAGAAATAAAGTTTTTAACATATCCTCGCTGTTAAAGTATCATTTAATCTACGCTTGCGGTTAAAGTACTATTTTATCTACTATTTTTGATAGATATATGGCAATTTTAACAGTTGCCATGGAAAAAATATTGAAAAACCCAGTACCGGAGTTTTTAATGACATATCGTTGTACTCAGGAGACCGAATCCTTTCAAAATTTAAATAAAATATGCAGGTCCGTATTTTAAAAAATTAAGTTGACCTATGGAGGTATCTGACAAATTATCAGCTAATTGAAAATCTAAAAATACCATCAATTAGTCTAGATAAAGTGAATATGAGAATGTGCAATTAGTTTTGGGATTTTCTAAAAAGTAACGACAGGAAAAAAAATAAACATTTATGGCATCTTGGTGAACATACCAAAGCGCAAATTTGCCGCAATTTAACCATGTTCGTATCTATCTTTTCACGTATCAACATATTCGTTCGTTTTCGAGATACCAATGCTCGTACTGCGAATTTGTAGCACCCTGTATATTGTATGCATTTCATATTTTAATCTAAATCAATTTAGATTAGTGAAGAATTTAGAAGGTAGTGGGTTCGATTCCCACACCCGGCATTTCATCAGCCAACTATTTTTATTAAAATAAAAATAGTTTGGGTACCTAGGTCGACTCAGCCTTAAATGAGTACTTGGGATTCACAATCCTGAGGTAATAATAGGCGGTTGAAGCGTAGTGCTAGCCACATTACCTTCCTTGTATACCGAACGGCTCTAGCATGGCAAGCGGTACCTTGCTACTCCCAAGGCGTTAAACGCTATATACGGGAGCTATTATTATTATTATTATTATTAATTTAGATTGAAAATGGGGTACCAAAAGTAGTATTTCTAAGTTTTAGTCTGGTAAATATATCAAAATCAGTGAACACTACACAAGTAGTGTTCTCCAATATCGTCCTTCAAGTAATTCTGACATATTTCACAAGAACCATAAAAATGTTTAATCCTCATTGTGGTAGAGATTAAATAGATCCGTGTTGAAATCAGAATTTTATTAAATAGCCTGCTTAATTATTTCTATCCACGTTATACGATTTTTTTTCTATATTAAAAAAATATTGTAATTTTAATTAAAGTACGAGATGTTTAAAAATAACATTTTAAATTAATTTAAAAAGAAAAATCGTTACGTTAATTGAATTAAATATAGGTTATCACGGTTTGTTTACAATTTTTTCCATCGTACGTGTTGCTAATAGTCCAGGAGGCAGTGTATTTTTTTACTTAGTTTCCCAGTGGGTGAAGATGTAAAAGTATGTTCGGATGGGTTTGGTACTAGATAAAAAAATTAAAAAAGTCCACTTATTTTTCCAGTCATAAATATTTGACATATAACAGTCTGGCACTGTGTGGAGGAAAGTCAGTCAGGCTGAAAATTTGCGAATGCAAAAATTTAACAGATTTTTGAAATCCGTATTTTCCCATCTTTGAAATTTAACTTATCATGTGATACTATCATAAACTACCTATAATCAAAAGCAAGTCTGGCTGATTTACGAAATATGCAAATAAGTCTGGCAGCATCTTGAAAATTGCAAAATTACAAATTTTTTGCTCTTATTTTTCCGGTTTTGAAAATTTGTCACATGATAAACAATACTATTCAAAGTATAATTTAATAGAAAATAAACATCTGGCTGTCATTTACAATCACAAAGAGAAAACCTCACGTCCATATGAATTCAGCGCGCCTGACGAGCGATGAACTAGTCTGAGTAGTCTGGCAAGGCTTTCGGGATGTTCCACATTAGCCAGACTATTATTTGCAGCTGTAATTATAATATAAACTATCATATGACAGACTTTTAGGACTGTGAAAATAAGGGCAATGCACAGTGGTTCCCAGATAGGTCATTACTTAGAAATATTAGTTTCAAAATGTTTGCATGAAACTGTTGCTAATACTTTTCTTATATTATTCCCCTGTAAACGATACATAATAAATAACAAAATCAAGTAAGCCTAGTGTAGCGCTTTTTTTTTATTAGAAATGTCACATTTTTGCTACTGGTATCAAGCTGACATTAACAGTTTTCAGATAACGCCAATTAATTACTTATTTTATTAAAATTGATAAAAGTTGTTGCCTTTTCTGTAATGGACGTTCGAAAAGAAGGTAAAAAGACCTGTTTTTTCTTTTTTGCACTTAATTATACCTAAGTAATATTAGTTTATGGCAATTTATTTGAAGGCAACAAAAATAGTATTTTTACATTTTTGCTTGTCACTCTTTAAGACTTTTAAATACTTTCCCTTTCAAATCCTCTTAAACGGCATGATAATACTTGTTGCTTAAAGTATATTGCATATAAATTAATTGCCACTGGCTGCCGCGAATTGCCGCCGGATCTTATACCGGGTGTTTAAAGATTGACTTTTTGTCTTAAAATAAAAGTAACTTATTTTTTCAAAGTTAAGTTCTTCGTGTCAACATATTTCGTGGTAACTATAAAATTGTATATGTAAAATGAAACAACTGTCTCTTTTATTTTTTCAACATTTAAAATAAATTTGACCATATATGACAATATGAAAAAACATGTACATATGTGCAAACATAATCTGTATACTTTTCCGAATAGTTAGAACCGAGGTTAGAACTTAAAATGCAAATCACACGAACTGGGCCCAATTTTAAGCATTTTATATACATTTATTTAGCATTTGTTATCAATTTCTATTAAAAAAGGTGCAGTCAAGCTATATCTAGATATTTAACAGTTAGGACCGCGCAGCTAATTAAGGGGAACCACTGTGCAATGGTTTCAATAATTTTTATCCAATTTTTCACCTGCCAGTAGGTAGATATTACCCATTCTCACAGATTAGCTTAACTGCACATCTCTCACTAATAGAACTGTTTTTATCGCTGGAGAAAAAAGTGTAGTATATTTGTATTTTCTAAGGCATTTTCCACTACATACACATCATGAATGAGGTGGCAGGGTGATATACAGGGTGCAAATATAATATTTTAGGGGTAGTATATTTCGACCTCAGAAACACGATTATTTTTTTTCGCAAAAGCAAAATTGTTGAAAATTGAAATTTTTTGTTAGTTTTTAGTTAAAAACCATAATTTCTTGATAATATGGCAACATAGGTAATAGGTTAAATTTAGAATTAGACACGATCCAGTGGTTCTGAAAATTTAAGCAAAAATTTTTTTTTTAAATCTTCGAAGTAAAATAACTCGGTTATTCTGGACTTATTTGAAAAACGGTAAAGAGAAAATATGTTTTTTTTATCGAGATCTACCAGCCATGAGAATATTTGTACTTATTTAATACCCTGTATATGAAATTTGCTTAGAATAACATATCGAATAATTCTATCGGTGTTTGCTGACTGGGAAAGTAAGTACCGAAAATCTTCACTGCCTCCTGGACTACAATAATTATTTATCTCGGTTCATGTGAGGGAATGTGCGCCAGTTGGCGCCAAAATATTCCTCAGCTTATCTAAAATTTTTCGCGGGAAAACCATCAATCCATTTTTGTTTTGATTGAAAATCGCTTAATAAACAATTAACAATGGTTTTATTTTAAGATCAAACCGATGAAAAATGTTTAACCGATCGAACACGTGGAGATACGGTAATGTTTTGACGCGAACACTGCTCATTATCTCGCCAATTCGTGTCAAGATAGTGTTAAAACTGATTTACCTTTGAACTGTCGACAATGTTGTGCGGCTGGCACTGGAAAACGCTCAGGTTCGCACACGAGAACACCAAATAAACACTGAAAAATCGCACGACCAGCTCCATCTCATATTTGGAACACAAATGTCGGCCTCCACTTCTTCAGTTTCAATTCCTGCTTAGTAATGACCCTTGAATATCTTAGCTTACTGTTCATATAAGTGATAAGAGCTCGGACGATACCAGTCGTCTTCGAAAAGTTTATTTATTTAAGAAGACTTATTAATTTCTCTATTTTTTTTAACAGTTGACTTTAAACTTAGTGTGTGGCCCCACAGATGGACTCAATATTATTTTAGTTATTCTGCCTTCTCTCTACGGAGCTGCTTTCTGGTTCATCAAGAGTAAACGGTAAATAAACTACGGCTTTATAGTTTTGTATCACAGGGATGGACCAATATCTGGGACCGAAACAAAATGAAGAAGAAAAGCAAAACCCGCCATCATTTCTGGCAACCAACGCTAAAAAAAGTTGACACACCTTCAGAAGGGAACGCTAAACAGTAAAGCGAACAGCTAACAACAAAATATGAACAAAATCGCTAACACAGACAGTGGCTAAAACTACGCCTTGATACTGAGATTAACAAAGACTTCCATCTGAATCCGTGTGGAATACTAAATATGTGCAAGTGATATCTATTTCTAAAGACAAAAAGCCTAGAGGCTGCGTTACTTATTTTCGAAATCAAGGATGATAACATCAACAGTTTCAGAACATGTTGGATGAGAGTCCTTGTCTCTTTTAACTTCTTATCTTGAGAATAAAATACTCTCCCTTTGAGCGTGAGATTGAATTGAAATGAAGGTTGATAGGAAATGAGAGCTTGTGAAGGTAGCAATAATAAGTAAAATATGCCTAAAGTATGTTAGACAAATCTAAAAATCCTCGTGCTTCTAGCATTTGGTTGTCAAAACGATACTCGTTCCTAATAGAGAAATATGCGTAATGATGTAAAGGTATGCATAAAAGTTACCGGTATTAATACCGCGGTAATATTATCGTTTTTTTTTGGTAATATTACGTAATATTACCGCAAGATAACATTGGAAATATTGCTTTTTTCTCGCTCTAGTCTTTTCCTTATTTTAGGTGACAACAAAATGGGGCTTTTTTAATAATTTATATAACTGTAAACATAACTTCTGACAAGCAGTGTCCGTTTAGGTTTGCCGCAGAAGTGTTTACAAAAAAATAACTATTTTATTTTGTAGATTTTTTTGCAGTGCAATGGCGAAATACCCATAAAGTATTTTTTTTTTGGAGAAATAGACATGACTCAATTAATGAAAGAGAAAGAAGAACCATATGACAAGATTGAGGATGATGTACCATATCCACTCTATTGCGTACTATAACATACCACTCTGACACTGCCTAGCTTAGACAAACGTTCTTGTTTTCTTTCTTATTTTGTATATGTCTCTGTATATCTATGTCTGTGTTTGTATTGTATTTTTATTTTCTATGTTTTTACAGTTTTGAAATAAAAAAAATAATATTATTTAAAAAGCTGCATTTTTTACAAATTACCAATGTTACCGTAATATTACGTAACATTACCAGTAATATTACCGATTTATAAATTACCGGTAATATTACATCACTAAATATTCTTGGTAGTTGTTCTTTGACTACGTTACTTCTTCGTAGTTTTTCTTTGACAAACCCTACAATATTTACAGGAATTGGGGATATATGACTGTTATTCACTGAATATATTAAATAAGCATCAACATTCATGATGAAGGAACCATGAGTTTAAACGCTGACTTTGATAGGTAGAACTGATATGCATTATCATTACGACCAAAGAAATGGTCTGGAAGATAGAGGGTAAATGTATAAATACATTGAGAGATTATAGGCAGACATTGTCAATTTTATGAAGAGAGAGAGAGAGAGAGAATTAAAGTAACTTCATTGGCATGCTGGAACAGTTAGAGAATCAGTCATTTATAGAAATCTCTCGTATCTAAAACAAGATTGGATACCAAATTTTCAAATTTGGTTGTCAAAACGATACTCGTCCCTAATAGAGAGATATGCGTAATAATGTAAAGGATAATATTACCAGTAATTTTGGTAATATTACGTAATATTACCGCCAGATCGTAACGTAATATTACAACAAGATGGGGCTGCTTTGTTTCTTGTGTAAAAAGCGTTTTGCATACTAAAATATACTTTTTTTCCAATACTTTGTTGGAAACAAAAATATGATAGATAGTCTAAGAAACTTGTCAGTTTAAATATTATTATAGTGATAACTTATTGCCTATCGCGGCGAAGACAAATAAAGGCTAAGTCGTCTTTCTACAAAACATGAGGAATAGGATGAAACAGGCAATTAAAAAGAGCTAAAGAATCTTTATAGTATTCCAATAAGGAAAAAAAAGTTACATTTTTGACGATGCCCAAAATCACTCTTCGAACTGGTACTGGAATTCTAACCAGATATTACCAAGTCAATGGGCTCTTTACAAAATGAAGGTAAGTTGTAACTTGAGGCAGGAAAATGGGACGAATAGTAGAAGACTTGGAAAATGGGAAGAATAGAAGAGGAAATAGGAAATTGAGATGCTGAATAAAAAGGAGAATTATAAAGTAGCTTTTAAACAATTTACTTACTTTTTACAGATATTTATTTGAAAATTTTTATTTTTTAACTTTAATTGCTGGTGAATATTGATAGTGAGGTTTAGTTTTGTTGGGAGGACATGCAGACATTTTACTCATGCTTGTGCTCATTATGATTACTTGTGCTCATTATGAGAAAGCACTTTTCTTCCAAACTGAAATGTCTTCTATAAATGTAAGTTGAAATTAAGATTTCTCTAATTGCTTACTAATAATTGGAGTTGTTATTTTATTTTGGTTAACAAAATTTTATTTGGTAAAGCTGTAAACCTTAATAGATTGTTTTTTTTTCTCTCTCACGATAATTTGTGTTCTAAACACTCTTAGTTGGCCCCTCACATAATTTATATGATGCTATCTTACGCGTTAATATTAGTAGTGGGAACTATCGAATGAATACTATCGAAACATTCGATAGTTGCAATTCATTCGAATAATTCGATAGTTAGTAAGAAAACATTCGTTGAAAACTATTCGAATAAAAATTATCGAATAGATCCGTCATCTGCCTTGAAATATTGTATTCTAGTAATTCGTCAGCAAAAACCATTCATTTATAAAATTCATTCATTTATGAAATTTATTTATTCGTCAGGATTGATTATAATAAAATATTAACTGAATTTTAGTTGTCGCCCGGCGACGTAGGTTTCTTTCCGAGAAACCCGACAGCGGTCGGTGGCAATGCTATGAAAGAAGCCGGCATTTTTTGCGGAGTCAGATATAGATAAGGACACATTATTTTTTTTATTGAGGTGCTAGTATTTACACAGAAAATACATTATGAAGGGCGCTGTTGCCATATTGTGGTATTAGTTGATATTAGCAAAGAATATTATTGTTTGGCTTTAGAAGGGCTTTAGTTAGTTAGGGATAGTATGTCTATATATTCTGCATTTTTTTTTATTAATATTCTGTTGTTACACTGCAATAATACTTGTTATTTTGGATGTAAGAAAATGATTTTTAATGTTTTTAAGCAAAGACTGGTTTAATAAATTATAATAACAGTAATAATTTGTTATACCTATTAACAACAAAATTTAAAATGATTTAATATAAATATTTTTTTAAGTAGTAGCAAAATATAAACAACAAATTAGATGTCAAAATTATTTATATTAGATCCTATTTAAAATATAATATAGTCTCTAAATTTTTTTAGGCAACGTTGGTTTATTAAATAATAATAATTACAGAACTAATTTGTTATATTAACAACAAATTTTAAAATCATGAAATATAACAATTATTAATTTTCTAAGCATGCAGTGTAATGGAACGAAAATATAAATAAAAAATTAGAAATCAAAATTATTTATATTAGGTGCTTTATATTACTTTTTATATACTATTTAAAAATTATATTTACTTTTACTGGCATTTACTTTAAAAAATAAATGAAATATTTCTTCGCAAAAAACTACATGTTAGAGAATTAGCATAAACAAAATACAAACATCGTTAACTTTTTTTTTAAATTGGCACGTGTAAAACTTTCATTTTAATTTTCTCACCCCATAGTTTGAGTTCGATAACCCCCCATTTACTTAACCACATTACTTAAATATGATTATTAAGTTCCAACTAATTCATATTATTAAAACATCTAAAATGCAAATATGTATTTTTAAAATTAATTGTAAGTTCATCTCATCCCTCTTAAAAATTGCTACTTCTCAAAATTTCCCATTAAAAAATAGACCATATACCATATAAAATTAAATAACTGAAAGATCGGACTACGGAAAACAACACAAATTTTCGGAAAAATTTTGACCACCTGCACATGCACACAATCGTCAATAAATAAAATTAAAAAATAACTACTATTTTAGTATTTTAACTATTTTAATAAATGCAAAAATAGCACAGTATTTATACGGCGAAGTTATAAAAATTTGGAAGAACTAATAATGCACTGGCGCATACAAAAATCAAACGAATACTAAATTTCATTTATCAAAAGCATTCGATAGTCGTGGCGCAACGATAACCATTTGGTCGCACGGCGAGGTTGTCACATATGCTTTAGTATACAAATGAATGAATGATTTTATTCGAATAAAACCATTCGATAGTTGAAATCATTCATTCATTAACCATTCGATAGTCTAATTCATTCGATAGTTCCCATCGCTACTTAATATCTATAAGATCTTTATCAGAGTGGGTGATATGTAACCACGTTTGGACAGAATGTTTTCCATATTGTTGTGGTGAGTTTAGCTAAATAATCTATTAAAATGTTGATGGTTTAACAGACACGTCCCAGTGAGGATATTCCTTTAAGGGAAATATATTCTAGGTGACGTCGTTGTTACGTTACCAGGCCCTCCTTGTGCCTGATAAAGAGCAATGAAACGCAGATACGTAACTGTTCCCTAATGTTCCCTAAATGTGACAAAACTTTGCTCACTGAGGTTTGTACTATACCTATAAATCTAGTGTTTTCGAAATAATAT